CTAACATGAACAAAATCATATTGCGTGTCATACCCATGCCAAACATTTGAATGTTATATTGTTGTATATGTGTGCTATTCAATTCTTTGTATTTTATATAAGTAAAGTATTACACATACATGTAATAATTTTTAATATGTATTTAGATGAGTACACATATATTTTTTTCAGTTATGTGATTGTCCAATTTTTTTGGTATCATTTTATATCACGCTGACGACATCATACATTTCTCTTCTCAGAAGATGATTTAACGTCACATGTACCTAATTGAAGCCTATATTCATCCATCCAGGAAATATATTTTAAAAGGAATAAACGAATTCGTTGTAACTATTAAATGTGTGTAGTCTTGCAAATAAAATAATGATAATAGAAAAATGCACTTCAAATGAATGTACTTAAGTATCAATGTTATTAGAGAAATTTTCTAAGTAAATAATTGAACAGACAGGCATAAATGTAGTTTTTCCCATTGTCACACATCGTGTAGCTACAGATTTAACCTTATAAAAACCCTTGATAGATCCCTACTATGAACTGCTATTTTGTTAGCAAATGATTTAACCACAAACATTCACATGCCTACTTTTTAACAAATAACTTGTGATGAAATTCTTATTGCAATAAGAGAGAAATAATGAGACATTTTACTGCATATCGACACAAACTCACGGCCTGATTATAAGTCAACCGTGGGTATCCGACGGTGTTGGATTTACTAAAGGGGGCACAAATAAAAACAATTTCTGTAACATCTAGAGTATAAATTATCTTTCTCACTTACCTTTAATTACGTAGCAAGTTAATAAAGTGTGTTGTGAGTTATACATTCAACCAAGAGATGGTGTATGGCCACACGTATTTTAAGCACATTGAAATATAACTTTTATCCAATTGTTATCACAGGTTACAGAAAAGAGAAACAAGTGATCAACCCACAAATATTTCCAACTTGACCACAATCTCTGGACAAAGTGATTATGAAACTCTAGAACATCAACAAGGTGACGAACACGAGTATAGCTCTGCAAGGCAGGTTGATAAGGATCGTGTTGCAATGAATACATATGTCAATGACGTTGTTTATAGGGAGGATTAATATATATATTAGAATATTAACATTACAGAAAAGTTAATAAATATATCATTTATTTGATAAACATTGCATAATGGTTTGTAGATCATATTGTTTTATTTTACAAGAATATTACAACATTTTAGTTAAAGGACCCATTATGTCTCAGAAAAAATCTTGTTTCAAATTCTCAAAAGCTAATTGTTTTTGGTGTACTATTTTATCTAAAAATGTTAATTGGCCAATTATCTGAACAACATGTTCCTTCTTTTGAGTTTAAGCAACTAGTACAGTTAAAGTTGAATGTAAGTCAAAATACTACTTTGTTTACATGACAAATAACTTTATAATTAGAGCTAGTTTTTCTCAGGTAACAAGCATCTAAAATACTCTTAAACCGTATTGTAAACGATATACCAGACGCATTAGCCCTTTCTGAATCAGTAAATATTTAATCGTTGCTGAGGCATTATGTGTCTTTAATAGCTTGCTCTGCCAGTAACATTACATATTTATTTATATTAATCATTTAAAACGTTCAATAAACGTGTATATTCAATAATTTTTTTTCGAGAATTCTGCAAAATTTAAAAATAAAAACAAAAAACTCAGTAACACTAATAAACATATACCTTACACAGATATGTGTATACAAAATGCAATGACAGCCTCCTTGTTTGATATGTGCTTAATGTTATTTTAAGCATTGAAAGAAAACAACTTAATTCCCGTATAAAATGAAAAGGTGTCATGTACCGGCAATTTAACTTAATATTTGATTTTGCTCGTTGCCAAGACCAATAAGTATGATACAATCCATCCACAGATGTGATCAATTCAAAATAAAGCGTTCCCATTTCTTTGGGAACGAAAAAGTATCCACTGAGAACAGATCGCAAGTCCAAAAAAACAACGAAAAAAAAACCAACAAAAAACAATAACATCAAAATAATAGAAAGAATAAATAAAAAACGAACATGACACTTGGAAATCTTCCGGACATTTTGCTTGGGTTAGGGTTTGAGCCTTATATTGCTGAAAAGAAGAACCTCCAAGATAATGGAAAATGAATCCGTAACGAAATCAGACAAATTGTGTTAAAACGATTTGTTAGAGAAAACGGTGTTGTTTTTTGTTCTACGAAATTTAATACAGTTTAAAAACACAAGGAATATATCGCCGGTCGAGAAAAGACCAAGCCATGCGAAATTCTCCGAGACATTTTGGGCTTTAAGCTTTATATTGCTATTTATAAAGAAGACCCCACAAACTAATGACAGAACGATTCCGTAATGGAATCAGACAAATAGTGTTTTAATGGTTGGCTTGAGAAAATGGTGTTTTTTAATAGAATTGATACACTTTATAAACAGGAGATCACATCGCCGGTTCAATGGTGTTTTAACAATTTGCTTGAGAATATGGTGCGTTTTGTTATGAAAATATGTACACTATATATAAAGAAAGAGCAAATCGCTGGTCAAGAAATTTCCCGAACTTTTGTTTGGGTTAAGGCTCGGGCCGTATACTGCTGTAAAGAAAACCCTTCAAACTAATCGAGAGACGAATGAGAAATGGTATTTTAACGGTTAGCTCGGGAAATCTGTGTTTTGTTTTTTCGAAAATCTTTTAATGTATACAATAAAATTAACGATTACTAAAGTTTGATAATAAGGGCTATGTCATGTAACACGCTTTATCAATAATTCTTTTCATCTCTGTGATAAAAATAAGCAACAACAACTAACAGATATAAGAAATGCTAATATCATTTGTATTCTTATGGCTTTTAAAACTCATATGCCTAAAAATGGTAACATTTCCTTGTGCCAAAAACTTTTAAAATAGAGAGAAATAAGAATCTCTAAAGAAAACCCAACACGGCAAAATTGAAAATGTTGCAGGGTCGGTTTGATTGAGCCTGTTTATGGACGGTACTGTAAAGTGCAAATTACCGTCCACGCCCCCTAGCACCGGCTTCAGCAGTATTCAAAATTTACACATGAACTGTTAAAATTTAGAATTTTGAAACATGCGCAGTTGTGTTCACATGGCGGTTGTCATGGAACCTTCAACGTAAGTGCCATTCCATGAAAAGCGGCATATGGTCCCGAAGTAAAAAAAAGCGTGTGCCCTAAACGAGAAAACAATGGGTGGAACTAAATAAAATGGAATTTAGAAAGGGGATCTGAGGTTATGAAGCCTGAATATCACAGATATGACGTCAAAAGACAAATTTAAAAAGCAGGCAACATATCCTAAGGGTGATTCAACAGTATCAATTGAGGAATACTGGAACCACCCAACAAGAAAGTTGCCGAATAGAAAAAAACTTAAATACCACAAGCACAACAGTAATGCCGTGCTTTTAAGTGTGTCCTTTTACGGTTTCCAAAATGTTTCTCATAGCCCAAATACATTAATCATCCGTTGCCTTCCGGCAGTAAATACTGTTACAGTATAAGAGTGATTAAACATTTGTACGGAAGTCCAAAAACCACAATGTTTATATTTTGCTGACTTTGTCAGTACTTATCTAATTTTATTCGTTATTTACTTAAGGTTATACTCATATAAAATGTTCCCAATACATGTGTATCTTTTGAGAATTCTGCTCTTTATTCATAAAAAGGGAGACAATACTGCAATCAACCATTGTATTATATTGCAAGATTGTTATCCCCAACGTATTTGTGCATCTCAGGACGACGTGCATTATATTGAAACCATTAGGTTTTGATGTATTGAGGTCATTTATTTCGCCGTGTCAGTGTAGTAAGCTGTGACAAAAGTCATGCTTAATCTATGTTTATCTTGCTAGGTTCCCACAAGCGCATGCGATACAGAATTTCAAATGTTTTTAAAAGATAAGTAAAACAAGGTGATGGTTCGTACATATGATTTGATATAACTTTGACGTAACTATGTACACTTTTGAATATTCTTTAAAACAAAGCGTCGTATGAAAAATTATAACAGAAAGAAAAAAAGTATGTTTTTATGTCAAGTGTTTCAGTAAGTTGCTCTTTCAATAACAGATTTTAACATTATATTCATTGAAATTGTATAACGGTAGATATAATTTCAAGAACAAATTGAATAAATGAGTTTACTTAATCAGATATTTGTTCATGACAATAATACTTTATCTTTCTAATATTTAAGTACTTCCTTTCTTGGTATCATTTTCAAATAAACATCTTAATCATTATAAATTTAGATGTATATGCTTGATAATGTAACCAATGTTATATTTAACGGAAAGGAGAATGTTGATTTCACAAGCGCACAGTGAAAAGTACAATAAATGTCATAAATAGAGGATATTTGTTTTGAGTGAATATGATGCATATCTCACTGAGAAGTCAGATATTTGCAAATTAATACTTCCACGAGTGAAAGAAAATATCTAAAGATTTATTTCATATTAATTACGAAAACTTAAAACCCAAACAAATGTCTTTATATACTATACCTTATAACTTAAAACAATATTTTATAGAACATAGTAGATTGAGTGATATGAATATTATTACACTGATAAAACAAAGGATTTTAATTAGTTAGCCAAAAACATAAGTTTATATGTCTTAACATCATTTGGGTTAAACAATTCTAAATGAAATAATGGCATTTCAGGCTTTATTACACAATTTGACTGGGCAACCTTAGTGGTACAAGTTTAAATTTTGACCTATGAAAGTCTTCATTTCCTTTGGTAACCTAATTAAATTTGAATCTCGCCGTGTAAACTAATTAAAAGTAACCCTTATCGTGTTCCCTAATTAAAAGTGTACATTAATTTCAGAGATAATAAAATGTTAAAATGTTCTCTAACTTATTTTAACATTGAAAAAAAATAACAACAATAATGCTTCAACTATTTTTACATTATGTATTTTTGTTGAAGTAAATAAAATCTTTGTGCATGGTACTTTATCATGAATATTAAATATCGTTATTTATTCGCCGGGCAAAATTAATCACATAACATTGATAACATCCTGTTATCGAAAACGTTTTACTATAGTAAAGATTGGTGACCGGAATGTGCTCTTAATGTAAAGTCGTACAAATGAAACAATGAAAGTACTTGTCAAGTTTAGCTTATGATACTTAGACAGATAGCAGCTTTGAGATTAAACTATTTTAACTTCCTCATCTTTTAACAACGTGTCTCGTGTTCATTTTACAATATAAATTTTGGATAATCATGAAGGATTCTGTTTTATTGGTATTTATCGTTTTGATGAAAGCTTTGGTTACCTTTACAGAAGGTAAATAAAATTTATTTGATATTTAAGAAGTTTATTCGCCTTGAATTGTTAATTAAATGTTTATTTACAAGGATTTTGTATAATGGTCGACAACTTTAGCCAATTCAATATTTTGATATTCCTGTACGCTTCGTCAATTACAATTTGTGAGACACAGGAATCTATAAAACAATGAAGTTAAGTGACTATTGTTTTAATAAGACCTAAGAAAGAAAAAGTAAAGTTGTGCATTCAAAATTCAGAAGACAAAATGTTATAGATATATGATTGATAGATAATTGACATTATTGTTTAAATTATATATTTGAAACAAAAATATTTCTTTCAATAATGCAATTAAATCTATTTTTTTAAATTTACCAAATTACCACCTTGGTTAGCCATTTCATTGACTGTATATCATTTAAATAAATGTGTTTATCTGCAATATTCTGAAATATATGTTTTCATTTTGCAAACTGAAAAATAACCCAGATGATGCATCCTCTGTTATATCCTGCAACACGGAACTTTTGACTTGGCAAGAGGCAGTTGAAAATTGTACAAACAAAGGTGGTTATATGCTTCCATTTGAGACTGGTTTAGGACAAAATATAGACGCACTCCATTTACAGAGTGAGATAGACATATGGACAGCCGATTATATAATAAAATCGGATACCGGTAAGTGTTCTAGAAAGTATTTGTTATTGTATGTTGTACATTTTCTTCAAAAATAGTTTTGGTAGTGATTTTGTCAATCTTAGTACAATATCTGTAATTTCTTATTTAGTTCCTGTTCGTTAGAAATTAAGGTTAACAATTTTGATCAAAGTCATTTTACTACATAACAGCTTTTTTATGCTTCTTTTAAAATTAACTTTTAATTTTATTTATTTAACTTTTAATTTCATTTTTTTTTTTATTATTAAGGTCACAATTTCTGGATTGGAAGCATTACTATCAAAACCATTTTAAGAAAAGGTTTATAATCTGCTTAATTTATAATTCAGTATCATGTGTATATTGTAATGCATTCCACTTATCTTACATATTTTAACCAAAAATGCTAGTCAGAATAAATAAGTTTAAAAGATAGTTTTAATTAAGAACCTGTGATAATATTATTTGCATATTAATGTATCTGTCTCTATATCTGTGAATTCAATAATAAGTTCGAATCCTGTTAATTTTAACACCTTTCTTGTTCCATAATGTATCTTATCAACTATTTAAAAAATAGTGTTCAGATAAGGTGTTATGACACGCATCCTTAAATCAAATATTATAGACTGTGATGTTTGTTATATCAACAAGATATCATCATACGGTTTTCGACTAGTATCTACAAAGGCAATCTAAATTATCTACCTTTATTTTGAGTCGCATTCCAACAATTTGAAACTCTTTTTCACACCTTAATAATGTAACCAATAAACAACTAGCATTCTCAACATGTAATTTCCCCGATCTGAACTAGTGGGACAAAGATAGTCTCAATTCCATTTCCCCGAGTAAAGTTGATTCACATAAAAGCATAAATCTCTGACCCAATGTTCATTTTTAGTTTCAAATATCCGAATTAAATACTATGACACTAGAAGTAACACAGTTCTGTAAAATAAACATGTCATTTGCATAGTTGAATGCAATATTGATTCTATTAAACGCTTACACATATGTTAAAGCAATCTTAGTCTTGTCCAGTATACCGGTACATGTAGGTTAAATAGATGTGTACTCGTCGAAAACAATCTCAAAAAGTACTTATAATAATACTAAAGTATAACAAGTTTAGTTTACCAAAATTCCTGCTAGGGCAACACTAAATTAATTAATAAGGTTATAAACAGACGTTCAGGTGTAAAAGCTGGAAGGAAAGAGTTACGTGTATCTTAGAAATATATATATTTTTAATACCTATGTAACTATATAAAGTAACAAAATCTAGGGTATTTCATGGCCATTATGGCAAGATCTAGGTCATTATGCAATTTTGGCCGCCATGCTACTCGGCATTATTTTTCCAAAATGGCCTTCGTGTTCATAATTTCCTTCGGGCCTGCGGCCCTCCGGTCACTATGCACATCTTCGGGCCATTATCACATAATGGCGAGCAGCAACCAAGTATTAACCTTTAAATAATGGCCTAAAAAAGGTTCTGGAAAACAATGCTGCTGATGATAGTCGTAACCAATACATGCATTTTGTAAAATTTGAAGCAATGATGATTCCATAGTCGTTTACTAACGCTCGCTTTCATCATTTTATTACTCAACAATAACGATTGTTAAGCAGTATCATGTAGATGTAGTAACCTTTGACATGAAACGGGCTATAACTGACAAAGAAAAAGACCACATAATGCTTTTCTGATGCAATAAACAAATAGACTTGTCCATTTGAAGGGGGAGCACAGTGTATTTACAGAAAACAGGAAATAATTTAAACATGCAAAATTACATAAATATTGTCGTTCAGATACATTGTGTGATTAGTAATAACATATTTGCCATTTTTTTATATAAACTTTGCTTCTTTTGTTCAATGGATAGAATTATACTGTTTTTGTCGTCTGCAACCAGTAACTGTGTTAACCTCTAAACTAAAAGTAAAACATCCTGATATCAAAATAGTGCTATCCTTAGAACAATATGGCGCACTTCATATACATTTTGAATGTTTTGATTTTAGGTGAGTTTCAATATTGTCACGTCGCAGTGTCCTTCTCCAATGTAGTTACATTTTACTGTATGATAATATCTTTACCCATCTGTGAAGCAATTCTATGTATATCAAAATTTTGATAATGATGCTTGTTTTCTAAATAGCAAAGTACATGACAAGATATTGATTTTTCTACTCATAAGTAATTTTATATGTTTTTTTTTTTTTCAATTTCAAAGGAAATGACGGATATTGTGGATTTAACTACCTGAATAGTACATTTTACAAAATCAGAGTGTTGCTCTATGGAGATTGTTATGCTAACAGAAATTATTTTTGCAAAAGTGAAACAGGTATTAGTTATATTTTGTACATTAGATTACATCACCCAATCTGATAAGAATTAGCTCCTAAATAACGGTACGCATTAGGATCTAACTACCATCCATTGGTTGTCATCTTGTATTTATCTTTCAAACAATTAACAAATTAAAATGGTTTCTGATTGGGGAAAGTTTTAATAATTTTAAGTATTCATTTTAATGTTTTCAAAATTGTAAAAGAGACAACAACAAAAAACGTTTGAATCAGCAGAAGGTCTTCGGAGACCGGTGACGGTCGAAAACCGGGTTCCGAAGAAAGTCGATTAGAAGGTTAACCGCCTGCATCATCCAGACGTTTGAGATTTTGTTTCATACGTTCTACAATAATGTTTTCATTCAAACATTTATTTTTTTATTCTTTTAATTGCACTTAATATTCTTTCATATACCCATTTGAAACTACCATATGTGCATGAAGTATAGATTTCATTACTAATTTAAATGAAACAAACTATACAACGTTGATAAACCAATCATGTACGGTTAACAGATCACTTGCTCCAACATGTACCGAAAAAGGGTCACGTACAACTCCATGCCTTAAAAGTTAATCACATACCAATACGCTGCTTTTCATAATTTTGAAAGCGATGCGGTTTCTAATTATAACCGCTTAAACACAAGTACTGAGAAGTTAATTTTTACGATTTCGAGAACATGCATGGCGTTGTCAATATAGCTGGCAGGTAACTGGCAAAACAATCTTACCCATTAAAAATGAGTCTATTTAAGCAGTTATTTTTTAAAATTTACTTTAATCTTATACGATGTCAATTAGGTCTACATGTAAGGAATATGCAGATCTGAACATGAGTCAGATTGATTACACTAACATACTTTAAATTTGCAAAAATGCTTCGTATAAAATGTAAACATTAATTGTAAACTTTAAACTATGAATTTCAAATTAAGGTAAAACAAGTCATTTATTTTGAATACTGTGATTTCTTGTGATGATAATAATTATAACAAGCATAATTAGATTTCTTTTTTAAATATTTGTGTAGGATATTATTTAGCATATGTTTCCTTTAAACTTTACAGGGACGTTGGAGGTTTTTAACAGTACTCGAGAAAGTGTCCACTGTAACTATAGCGTTCAAATAAAAGACTTACACAGCAATAGATTAAGAATTAAACCAGGATACTATTGGAATTTTGGAACATTGCATGGAAAAGGTAAAACTTGTTATCATGCTGATATTTTTATAATTTGAAATTTCTGAAAGAAAAGGCCAGAGCACGGATACATTGTTTGGAACATTTTGAAATTTGATGTTTAATATTTTTACGTAAATGACACTAAAATTCCAAACACGGTGCTATTTATAATATGCAAATATGTATGTAAGCAAGATAGATAATCAGTGCACATAACTATTAACGGAAAAAATCAAGTTGCAAGGCATGCCATGTTTAATATAAAAGGAAGCATAGATATGCAGACTTATATCATATTATTGGAGATATAAAATAATAAAACTTAACACAGGCAAAGCTATGTTTAACTTATACAGGTATATAAAAGTTAAAGTTGGGAGCATCACATTAACTATAGTGGATTCGTTATCGAAATAGTCAATAAAACATATAGGTAGCTTTAAGCATATACAATGATTATCATGCAATTTATTTGTACTTTTGCAGCTAGTAAAGCTAGAACAATGGTGAACAACTTAAACAGTAAGTAGCAAAGTCAACGTTTTAATTTATAAAAGTCTGTGTTCTCTACACTCATCTCTTACCTTAGGTGTCATGTAAGAGGGTTCACAGCTGAACAAAATCTATTTTGTTACTTTAATATCATATCCGTTGAAAAAGGGTAAAACATAAAGTAACTTAATAAATATTGCAGCTGACAAACTTTCCCTGAGTATAAAATTTTTTGTCAACAAAACACATTATAAATAATGATTCTATAACTAAATAAGGTTTGTTAAAATAAGAACAATAATTTAACAATATATATATTGCGTTCAAAGGTTTTACCCCTACAATGAGAAACAAAATCATTCTGAGATATCATCAAAATGTTTTCGATTTTCTCTAATTAGCATCATTTACAAAATAAATCAAATGAATTAATTTTCTAATTCCAGGTACATTATGTGGAGCCTTTAAAAGTTCAATTGGAATGTATTATGCAAATTGTAACGTGAAACGTTATTCGTTATGTAAGTAGTATATACGGTTTGTAAAGTATTTCAAGTTGTATACATATTCATTATCTCCTCAGTTTTGTCTGAATTTCAATACAAGTGCACTCGAATGCAGGTGATTCTGTGTTCCTGTGCCTTTTTTGAGGGGGATGGATACACTCATTGAATGTTTCCGTTTTTGCTGATATTTGTTTTCATAACTTTTGTTATACATGGTTTCAGCTAATTATGGGGATACAAAGTTCAATCATATAGCATGCGTTATCGGGAGTTTAAAGTTTATTAAGCTAGAAACAGAAAATGAGCAAGTTGTAACTTTAAGCGTTAAGTTGGATCTTTTGTGTCATCATTTTAAAAGATGATAATATGTGAAAGAATGACAAAACAAATTATTTTAAATCGTGTTATCATCTGCAGGTTCTAGCCATGGGAATGGTCCAATTAATAACGTTTGTTTTGATGGTAAGTGTTAAATATATTGCTCATATACTTCTTATCTTAGTTCAAAGATCTTTACCTTAGTCTAATTGTATTCGAAGTCATCAGCTTTTACAAAATGCACTATTTTGGGACACGCATATTGAACGCGTAAAAATACTGCCCTCATATTTATTCTTTGCAAAGTTAGTTTGCTAATTTAGAATTATTTTTTTCCAAGCTAAAATGGATAAAAAATGTTAAAATTATAACTAGATAAGCATTATATATGTTACCGAAAAAAGCATAGTTGCAAACAAGTATAGGTGACGGATTAACCGTATAGTACTGTATACATAACACAAAACAATAATAAAAAAAATGAAAATCAAAAATATTTTCACTAATTTTCTCTATTTAGTCAATGATAGTAAAATAAATTTAGAATCAAACCTATTACAGTACAGTTAACAACAGATATAGAATTCATTTTATGATACTCACAAAAGACTAACCCGACGTGAATAAAAAGATGTACATTTGTGTGTGGTTTGAACAAATTGCTAATCGTATAAAATATACTTTAACATTGTCTCCACTAATTCACTATTAAGCAACGATTAAGGTTCTGAGTGGGTATATATTAATTGTTTTTAAGATATTACGAGATGAACTATGACTCGACAATTGAAGTCAGATATGTCAAACTAAGAATGGGTCAAATGACTATTAATAAATTATTTCTACACTACATAAACACAGCAGTATTTGACAATTCTTATTCAAAGGAAATATCGTCATAGGAACAGTTATCATGTTTCATGTTATTTCACAAATTATTTATTATACACGTTTTGATTTTTAAATTTTACTATTACAGTAATATTATTATATATTAAAAAGGTATGCAGCAATGCACTCAGAACTAAAAAGTATTACCTAGCTAAAACATTTGCTTTTTAACGTTGTTGCTTTTGCCAATTTGTGAGTCATTTTTTAAGGACACACGCCTAAAGTAACTGAATCCAGCACAATTGTCACCAGAACAGAACACACTACCAATGTCACAAACCCAACGACAATGTCGATGACAAGTCGCCAACAAACAACTGCAGATACATCCCATAAAACAACCAAACATCCAATGACAGTTCTAACTTCAATCAAAGATAAAACAAATGTGAAAAAGACACATCCGCAAGAGGAAGAGCAAAGCTCAGGTTGTATTTATTTATTTATTTATTTATTTATTTATTTATTTATTTATTTATTTATTTATTTAATACCTGATGTATATGTTTGCATGACCTTCGATAGAAACATCGTCAAGTTTATATATTAGAAATTTTCATCTTTAAATCTTTTATTTTCTTAAACTGAAATATTTCGCATGTATGGTCACCATTATCAAAAGCAAAGTAAAATGTTTCAGTATGTAATGAATCCCTCGCAAACATATATTATAAACATTTCAGTATCTTATTTTTATTGACAAATTGGGAGAAAAAGTTTTGCGTTGGAATCATTTCTTGGCATGCTAATGATTATTTCCAATGAACATATTTTCAATAGAGAGATCATTTGATGAAAAGCCGAAATTGAACACGAACAACCCTATCAGGACATTGTGTAATTGCAAATAACCTCTTGAACAGCCAATGAAAGGCGTGTTTATGAAATAATTGTGATTGATGGACTGAATAACAAATAGCTAATATACTGTTGATGTCTTGTAATGACAACTTAACCAATTTTAATGTCAAACGGTAAAATGATATTGTTAAGGTTATCTCTCCACATCACATAAGATTTTCAAGGGTTTCTTGATATTTTATATGAAAAACATTAGTCCGTTCTAATTAAGCAATGATCTTATGTACACTGTTTACATATTACCTTAATATAAATATAGAAATGTTGCAATCATTTAATTCATGAATTGTGTATTTCAAAGAAACATGTTGATTAATGCTGTGTTCTTTTCCACAATGACATATTTCAGATATAGGGATAAAAGTTGGTGTACCACTAGGTATAATATTACCTTTGACATGTGGGGTTTTAATTATCATTTATATTTACAGGAAAAGGTAATATTTATATTTATTTATATTTACGTAATTATTTTTAAAGCATTGTTTTCGTAGTTAAACCAGTGCCATACTTTACATTTCTTTTCTTAGAAATATACTTGATAAAAATAAACACATATAAGTTTTATTATTTCGTTTCAAGAATGAAATGTTGGCAGTCAAGCAATCCAAAACATGAAAAAGGACGCATGAATCCGTTTCACGATCAAGAAACTTCGCCAGCTCACGGTCAGCTCATCGTTTACTCAGAAAGTAATCAAGAAACTCCAAAATCATCTGATCACCACATACATGAAAATTATCTCACAGATATAAGTGCACAGTATGCTGTTGTCACAAAACCTAAAAAGGGCGACACAAAATCCAGAAAAGATAATTACTCAAATAAATCGTGTCAAAACGCAACGAATGATGAATATGATGATGATGATGAATATGATGTTGCTGGTAGGTTTCAAAATAGTAGATCTAATCAGTCGGACAATCTATACAACCATTTTGAAAGCGTGGACGAGTATAATTCGACATCTTTCGTAAGGGAAGGAGAATGTAACAATTTGTACAACACAACAGAAGACCGCAATCTCGTTGAACCTGATTACGACTCAACAATTCAGGTGAATAATACAACATTGCCTGATGACGTTTATAACCATTTATCTCAAGGTGAAAACTACTATGACTCTACATCAAATACTAGAAATAAATGATAAGACAAATTTGCTGAACAAATCAAGTGTAACAGAAATTTATTGTTTATTAGAACTGCCTTACTGCGTGTCATTTACAAGTTTGTTGTATGGTTAATATAAAGTTTATGTAGAAGCTGTAATAATTTGTCTATTGCTGCTAAAATATTGATCATCGTCGGTTAATGATACCAGTACTTCTAGTGTTGAAGATGGAACTGCTATATCCAGTACTTGATCCCGCTCAAATGAACAATCAACTCAGTTTAATATTTGATGTGTATTTTGTGTCTAAATATACTTCAGACCATGAACCCGTCAGCAAATGAACAATCAACTCAGTTTAATATTTTATGTGTCTAAATATACTTCAGACCATGAACCCGTCAGACCACATACATACCGAACAAGACATTTCGGAAAAAATATTTTGGATATCTCGGACATGATTTATGGGCACTTCTGACAGTGCAATCAATGTTTGAAATATTTCGCACCATGTATTTTTGTTGATTTTGGTAGGCATCTAAGTGTGAATGCATGCTATTTTGAATAATGATTTAAATGAATATTGCACTGTAAATTTGATAATGTTTCTTCACCCTTAACCTGTTTAATATTCTTAGACGGACTGTGCAGCCTACAGTCAGCTTCCATTTTTAGGCAAAGGAGATATTTTGAATTCTTAATTATTATTATCTACCATTAAGCCAACGCTTCGTATGATATTAGTTGATAGGTTGTTCAACATTTTTGTTTGAAATTTTGAATTAATTGCGACAGGTACATAGTTTGAGAATTTAGTTTTGTGCTCGTCCAAATATATTGCCGTATAATATCATTTTCATGCTATATTACACCCACATAAATGATGTATTGACGTCACGTGGTAATCTTAATCAGACAGAAATATTTGATTTGATAAACAATACTATCGCTCATCCAGAGTTATATAATTGAAATTACTTGATGAGTTTCAGAATGTGTTAATTGCTTAAACATTGCAGAGTCGTAAACGAAATAATGATTATGGTCATCAGTGCAGTGTACGAAGTGAATTGAACAATTGAACAAACAGACATTAACTTAGATTTTCCGATTGCCACTATACTTGAACTGTAAGGAGCAAATCAATAATAAAAGGAAAGACGAACAAGGAAACTAAAACAAAACAAAAACAAAATGAAACGTTTGGCAAATAGATGATACCTTTTACACTAATGTATTAAAAATTATGCAATCGGTTTGGAAGTTTGGAACTTGACAGATCATGAGATACGTAAAGACCAATTTGCGACACAAAGCTCATAGAAGTTTGACTGAGTTTTGCTTTTACAACACATGTGAAATGAACAAGATCGTTTGATGTCAGGACTCTTATTTTATAAAGAGTAACTGCACTCGAGGCAAACTAAAAAATAAATCAGAAAAAAAAATCTGGGAAGCATTAATCACAACAAAATAACATAAGAATTGCAGAGCCGATTTGATTGAGTCTGTACATGAGGGATAATGAATGTGTGCAACATCCCTCACGCCCCCTAGCACCGGCTTGAGCGGTACCAAATTCTCAACACTTAATAGTGTTGGCATCAATGATCCCGAAGGACCAGAAAATATAACAACACTGAAGTGAAGTACGGGGCAACTTTTTACGGCTGCCACACGGCAATTGAAGGCAACTTTGAGCGCATTTAATAGAAACACACAGTAAAATTTATGAATAAAATGTGTAAAAGAAATGTATGAAAACAATGTACTTGGGAAATAAATAGAAAGTGTTTTCTACTTTTCAGATAAAAACTGACTTACTTGCCATTATGAGTAATAATGATCTATTTCTGAAAGAAAATATGTGTAATCTATAAAGGAAACGCAGAATAATCTTGTTTCACGACAAAATGTTTGTATATTGTATATGTATTTTCTCAATATGGTTTGCATAAATGATTAGATAAACCTTTGTGTACTTTATTTGTGATTTTAACAAAGATATTTGTAAAGAAAAGTTAGATGAACTACAATTCATGTTACTTATTAGAAGAAGACTCGTAATAATAGATAATTTAAAGTAAATGCTTTCAATGTTTCCTCGAAAATTGAAATGAATATTGCACACATTTACATCGTGTATGAACAGATTTTTTCTGCAAGATGAAATCTACGTCAAAAGACAATAATATTGAACAAAAATTAAAGCACAGATGTTGAATTTACCAAAGGGGACACAAATAAAAGCAATTTAAGACACTATCACCTTTTAAAAGCATGTTGTACGATTTTTGAAACATTTAGACCAAAAAATATCTTTCTCACTTATCGATAGCTAGCTACTTCTTCAAGTCCTTAAAGAGTGCTGTGAGTTTTATTAGCATAAATCATACATTTACAAAAGGAGAATTAACATTTTTATCTGAGACATGACATTGTATAATATGAACATATAAATAGAAATTATGAAATCCTAACCAAAGATAATTAAAAGAAAGAGATAGACTTGATCAACCTATTAATATTTCCATCTTGACCATAGTTTCTAGACAACGCGATAATGAAACTGTAGAACATCAACAATGTCATAAACATTTCTGCTAAACCGGTACACATCGATCATGTTGTAATGAATATATATGTCAACGACGTTTATCATAGCGAGGGACACTATGCACTTCAAGTTTTACATACATTAATTACAGAAAAAAATCTTATAGAATATGAAATTTATTAAATAAATATTTTGCAAATGGTTATTACAAAACAGTGTTTTTATTTAACAGGAATAGTGTTCAAATTTAGATAATATCTTGATTTTCCAAAAACAAAGCATGACCATGAATGCGTTTGTTAGTCGAATACAATCTTTGACTTGATATAGATTGCAAAAAATTAGAATTTGATAGAAATCATACTCTGATAAAAACGAGCAAACAAACAAACCAAACAAATTAATGTGGTAGGTTAGCCTTGTGTAACATGTGTTTTATCCTTTCTTATGAGAATATGTTTGTTTACTCATATATGTTGTATTGAAATAATACGCCTTCGTCAAACTTTTTTAGTAGTCAGTGTCACATTCAGTTTCCGTATTTTAGAAAGAAACGCCGTGCATATTTCCAGCATTTTGTTGGCTGGATTTTTTCTGGCTGCAATGACCATAAACATGTTGCAATCCATAAAAATAAACAATCACAACTAAAGCTATATATACTAATGTATATTATTTTATCATTTTAAACGATTTTAATTAGTTATGTTTGGTCATCAGTACAAGTTCTCTCAAAGCGTTTAGAATAATTTTATTCTACTTCATTAGAACATTCCAATAAAGAGGAATAGACGGCAAGAATTTTTTAAATTGTAATCTTGACGGAACGACGTTTGAAGAATCAATAGTGAAACCATTAGGTATTGATGTATTGTACACATAAATTTCAATAATTATGTCAATATAATGAATTGTTAAAATAAGCTATAAAATCACGGCAACCTTAATCTGTTTTTACAAGCATATAAGATATCGTAATTTTAAACAATTGAAAATTAGGTAATGGTTTGAACCACGAAATTGCAATACTTTATAGAACTACACTTCATAATGTAAGTCTATAGAAAAAAAATAACAGAAGGGTACAAATTATGTATAGATGTCAATGTTTTTAGCTCTTAATGATTTTTACAATTTAGTTGTAAAGCAAATAAAAACAAACAAAACATATTAAGACAGTGATAAAATAATTTATAAAATGATGAATATAATACAGCTTGAGTTAATTGTTTACTTAATTGGGTGGTGAGTTTTTTTCAACAATTGAATTGTTATTTTTGCATGTGTATTTAATATCTCAAATGAAAAGATCTTGAACAGTTCGTTGTAAACAGAAATGAAAGACAGGATATTACTTTTATATATTAAGATTCATCAATTGTGTGTTTCACTAGATAAGTGATTATTCTATTTTTGTCGATATGTTATCTTTCCCGTCTGTAAGGACTTCCTTCTTTGGTATCATTTTTAGTATTAACAACTTAATCATTGTAAATATTGATGTGTAAATAGAAGATACTTTTGATTGATAAAGTGGCCAAGGTTTCATATAACGTAAAGTAGAATGTTCAAATTCACAAGTGCTTAAAATAAGTGAAATAAATCTCATCTTGACTAAAAAGTTTGCAAACTGCAAATCATTATTTCATACTCGTATAGAGCGAGTAAAGAAAGAAAATGATTTTTTCTCACTCCTTATTTTTGATATATTTCATATTTCAAAACAAGTTTAATTCTATACGTATTAGCGTATTAGCTTTTATCTACTAGCTGTACCAAGTCGTGAGTAAAATAGTACGTAGTGCAAAGCGAGTCATGCATTTTATTTCGCTGATAAAATTATTTCATTGGTTAGCATATTATATTAATTTTAACACCATTTGAAATGAAAAAATATTGATAGTATACGGTATTTTAAACTTTATTTCAAATTTTCTTTTTTTAGCCTTGCTTGGCATCCTTCTTCACTTTATTGTTGTTAGATTGTTCTGGTCCTTCGGGATTCATTGATTCCAGGTACAGACTAATTAAACAGAGTCTGGAATTTTCATTTAATATAATTGTTTTCATATCTTCTGAGGGATTACCCCTTTTCCATATTTTAAAGTTATAAGTTTATACCAGGACCTAAACAATAGTTTATTTGGTAACAATCGGCTTTTAACTTATCTAAAACGTGACCTTTAACGTGTTACCTTATTAAAAATGTAAATTAGAAGAAGTTAACATTATTTCATCCTAATCTTATATCATCACATAAACTCAATATATGAATAAATAAAATAAAGTATTATAACTAAGAAACAAACCACCACAACAACAAAACAAAGCAACGTTGTTTAAGCCATTTTTGATATATTGCGTTATCAATAAAAGCTAAATACTTGATACACCCGTCTCTATAAAGTACATTATTTATTATTATTTGCCTTTATTTCATGCATTCCAGTGTTTTATTACAATAAATCAGATGATTATATTCTGATAAACCACTAGTGAAATTTATAAAATATAATTTTCACTGTAGCCGGATTATATCTGAATGCGGGTGAAAAGAAAATCATAACTAAATGGAATAACAGGCAGAAATAAATGCCGTCACAAGTAAATTTTGCTTCTTTAGGCAAAGAAAGTCGATGTCACCATACATCATTTTAAAAATGTAACAAAATTAGAGAAATTTAAAAGAACTATATTTCAAAATTGATGATGTGACGTCATGATGTGATAACGTCACAAAGGAGAATGCGCGACGTTACGCGGCAAAATCAGTAAAAAAATACTAAAAATCACTTAAAAAGCATGAAATAAAAAGAACATTTATTTGTTTACATATAAGATTGAAATATATTTCATTCGTGAACACCAGCTATTATATTTTCACTCGTGGCGACGCCACTCGTGAAAATATTGCATCTGGTGTTCACTCAGTGAAATTATATTTCAATCTTACATGCAAAACAAACAAATATCCTCTATATCAAAATTGATCTCACAAAATTGATTAAACATAACATTAAGCACGTTCTACTGTGATAAAATTGGTGATTTAAACAAATACAAATCAGGGTACAAATTTTACACAAGTTCCTGTACAAATCTAACAGTAAAATATTTGTCGATACTGAAGACAGCAGGGTTTGAAATTCACATTTAAGATTACTGTTATCGTTTAAAGTGTTTAAACTACCTTATCTCATGTTATGTATCACGAGTTTAATATTGGATTATAATGAAGGACTATGCTTTTTTGGTATTTATCGTTTTGATAAAAGTGTTAGTTTCCTTAACAGAAGGTACTTAAACTTGTTTTTATACGAGTAACGTTACATATATTTTCAATCCTAATCGTATATCGTCGTTAGTTATTTATATAAGAAAAATGTATTCTTATAAATAAATGTTCCTTATGTCTCAAAATTACATATTTGTAAGATAGGTCCGATAAAACAACGTCTTTCATAGGCGTCAAGGATTTTCTTTTGTAAAGTTAAAACCATACTATTTTCTACTTACATACTATAAGCTACATTTGCTGTTGTTGTTTTTTTCTAATTTTCAAAAATTAAGTGAAATAACATTGTCGTGTGTATAATGATGTTATACATTTATTTTATAATTATTTCATTATTTTGTTTTTTCCCCAATCTCTAAAAGGTTATCCACCGAGTGTATCTTGTAACATGGAGAGTTCCACTTGGCAAGATGCAGGAATACACTGTATAAGGAGAGGTAGTAAAATGTTTCCATATGAGACTGGTTTAGGTGGAAATATAGATAAACTCCATTTAAAAAGTGAAATAGATGTATGGACAGCTGATTATTTAATATTTTCTGATACCGGTAAGTAATTGTTTATGTAACTGTATGCATGAATATGTTAAGCTTTGTCAACATACTTTATTTTCGATAGTGTCCTTAACACATTTAGTATACAAGTACGAAAGGAATTACAATTGTAATTTAAAGGATGGATCTGTATCATAAATCGTCTGCTACCCCTTCATTGTTTTCATATATAAAGGCTTGCTTTTTTATTTTACAAATTTGGTTTACTTTGTTGCACCTTTTATTTATTACTTTTTAAATGAAATTTACTCGTATTTGATTTGTTTACTTTGAAAAATTCATCAATTGTTTCAGAAAATATATTTTATATACAGTTTTGAAATCACAACAAGTTAACATTTTCTTTTTATCAGTTTTCTGCTCAGGGAAACGGATAAACAAATAACAAGTACATGTATTCGGCCATTAGCTTATACAAAAGCAGACTGTCTTATCTATCTGAATTTGAAAGCACCTCAATATCACTTTCACACATTATAAAATGTAATTATTATACCATAAGGTAATGTTGCAATATAAATCATATTTGATTCAATCTTTTCATTTTCATTTTCAATTCAAAAAAATCTGTATCAAACTAACATTGTAATTCATCAAATAGATAAATACAGAATCCCTAAAGAAAGCCCAACACGGCAAAATTGAAAATGTTGCAGGCTCGGTTTGATTGAGCCTGTTCATGGACGGTACTGGAAAGTGCAAGTTACCGTCCACGCCCCCTAGCACCGGCTTAAGCAGAATTCAACATTTAAACATGAAATAGTAAAATTTTGAATTTAGAAACATCCGCAGATGTGTTCATACGGCGGTTATCATGGAACCTTCAATGTGACACTTCCGTGCCATTCCATGAAAAGCGGCGTATGGTCCCCAAGTAATAAAAAGCGTGTGCCCTAAACGAGAAAACAATGGGCGGAACTAAATAAAATGGAATTTTGAAAGGGGATCAGAGGTTATGAAGCCTGCGTATCACAGATAAGACGTCAAAAGACAAATTTAAAAAGCAGGCAACATATCCAAAGGGTGATTCAACATTATTCAAGTAGGAATATTGGAACCACCCAACTAGAAAATGCCGAAAAGTTGAAACTAAAAATACCACAAGCACACAATAATGCCGTGCTGAACGATCTTCAAGGATCGAAAATATAACATCATTGATTAAATGTACGGGGAGACTTTTTACAGCCGCCACACGGCACAAATAACACTGATGTGATCATAAAATAGATAAATACAGAATCCCTAAAGAAAGCCTCGTTTGCAATTTCCGAGTACAACAGAGCCAAATGATATCCACATTTTACTCCAATGAGCTGTATTTAATATAATACAAAACACCATTGTTTTTGAGTGTTTCCTTTTTCTTAATTCTTTAAGAATGTATATCATAAAATAAAGAGTTCATATTCGTACAAAGCTGAAAAACATATAATGGTTTAACGGCTATAGGTCCAATAGAGATCAGTATGGTACGCAACCATGTATACTAACTGCATGATATCGTTGCACTTTCTGTAGCAAGGTGACTTTATCGTATTATCCTTTTCTAGGATTTCTACATGCAATGTTTTTCAAAATGAACATATAAGCCGCGTTTTATTAATTTTGGTTTTATTAATTTTATTCATGTTTTGTTCATATTTTCATTATGAATCTTTTCAAGCTCTTGAGAGTTTATAAAATAGTAACATTGAACTGCATTGGTCAATGAACGTTCCATGCTAAGAGAATCATTTACGCTTTCAGAAAATTATTTTAGACCGGACAAATACTGTGGATTTAACTACCTCAACAGCACCGTATATGAAAACAATGAAACGTTTTATGGAGACTGTAACACAAATAGAAATTATTTTTGTAAAAATAAAGCAGGTAAACCTTTTTCTTATTTCTATATTATATTTCAATTTGCATAAACATTTAATTCATGTAAAATGTGAAAATCCACTACGGAAGAAAGCAAAACAGGTTAATATACATGTAGATGAGGTACAAATTATTGTCTTAGTATATATTAATATCTTGCAATAATGAATATAGGAGTCACCGTAAACATGCATGTAATTAGATTATTTATCTGTCATATTATCAAGTATAATTTTTGCTCGCACATACATTACAGGAAACTTAGTTGTGTATAACAACAGTCGGGAAAAAATTGATTGTGACTATAAGATTTCATTAACTGACTTGCAAAACATGAAGTCAGCAATTAAGCCAGGATTCTATTGGAATACCGGGGTATTGTATGGGACAGGTAATATTTGTATATACTCATTTTTTAACAAAATAAAAGCACCCCTTAAAAAACATTGTTTCAAACACTTAAAAATTTAGGTTATCATAAGTTTCTAAATAGTAAACAGGGCTATGTAATGATCACTTATGTGCTTATGTATGACATCTGTATTCTACATAAATATGTTCATGGCAAAGCACCATTGCAATTGCCGCTAAGTCTGACAGTGTTTTTTATTGATAGTAAAGATTACATCGGCAAAATGGATAGCACAACCAATAATTCAATAGTGATTTAGGTATTGTTTGTTAACCTTTATATTTAATAACTATCAAGCAGACTTGTGTGTCCTTTTCCAGTGGGAATAGCTAGTACAGAGGCGCATTACATCAAAAGTAAGTAGTACTATCAGAGTATCAATAACTAATTACCTGTCTTGACTACACACATCTTTCACCTAGGAGTTTCTGTTTAGAGAGTTAACGGTTGAACGACATCTTTTGGCTTCTTTTAAAACATATTTGTTGATAATTATAGCTTTTCTGAGAATGAATTATCAAATAAAAATGATAATTATATTATAAAGGGTGATTTGTTAACACAAACTTCTCTTGGATACAAAATAGTCAATTGTCAACAATTTAACAATGAATAATGAAAAAGATTACTGAATTAGACCAAAGTGTAAAAATTTATGTTGCTTTCAAAAGTTTTACCCCCTCAGTGAGAAACAAAATGCATTTTAAGATACTCATGATATGTTCGATAAAACTCTTTTTGTAAAATAATCTAGACTTATTAATTTTCCAGTTCAAGGTATATTATGTGGAGCCTATAGAAGTTCAATTGGATTGTATTATGCAAATTGTAAGGAGAAACGCTTTTCGTTATGTACGTTGAATATACGGTTTGTAAATAATTTAGAATTTAAAATCTCAGACAAGTTATATACATTGACATAACCTTAGTGTTCTAAGGTCTATCTGAAATTTCATTACATGCAGTCTTCTTGTCGATGGTCCTATGTTGCAAGTCTTTGGGGATGACGCTCATTGAATGCAGCCCTTTTATTGATCTTGGTTTCATATATGTTTGTTATTCATGATTTTTAACTAATGATAAGGGTACGACATAATGATAAATTATATAAAAATAAACTAATGCTATTAAATAGTGTATCATACGTTGTCGGCAGTTAAAAGTTTACTAGAAGCAACGCAGTTTTAGAGTTTTAAGTTGAAACTTGACCAGAAAATATAAATGTGAAAGCATTTTAATTTGGATCTGTGTTGTTTTCAAAAAATAAATTAAGTGCACCATCATGCTGAAATAATAATGAAAAAAGAACGACAAAATGAATTACTTTGTTCTTTGTTGTTATCCGTAGGTTCAAGCAATGGAAATGGGACAATAAATAACTTTTGTTTTGATGGTAAGTGTAAAACTTATTGCTAACATAAATCTTGTCTCGGTTTAGTTTTAAATCTAAAGATCTTTATCGTCATCGTATGGCATTACAGGTCATCAGAATTTACTCAATGCACTATTTTGGAACACGCAATGTCTTGCGCGTAGAGTTGTTGACATCACACTGATTGTTTGCGATGTTAAGTAAGAGTCTATGTTTGCATTTTTTTTCATTTTTTTAAAGCTATTTAAAATGAATATAAAATGTCTATATAAATAAAAATAGATAATCAATTTATATTTTTTTAAATATCATAGTCGCAAAGAAGTCTGGATGACAAAATAACTGTATATTGATTGGTTTTTATTTTGCTTATTGTGACTTATACAATAATATATTATATTATTGTATAAGTCACAATAAGCAAAATAAAAACCGTTTTTCACTATTTTATATTTGGTGAATGATACATAAAACATTCTGAATAAAAATCGTGACAAATCATTTTATAATTATCACGGAATGCTATTCCCACGTGTATGAAAAATTTGTGTGTGGTTTACACAAATTGCTATTCCTATAAAATGTACTTTGTTTTCGCTAAATCCCTATTAAACAACGACTGAGATTTCGAGTGCGTAAATATACAATGTAGTCAAGAGGTTACGAGAAAAGGATGACACGTCAATTGAAATGAGATATGACAAACTAAAATGGGGTCAAATGACGATAAATAAATTATTTCTAAGCTGAATGTACACACATTTATTTTATAGTTTTCATTGTAAGAGCACATCAGCATAGGAACAGTTTTCTTATCGCATGTAGTATTACAAGATGTTATATTATATATATCGACATTAAGACCTGTTGCATCTGTGGCTATATTACTCGAAACGTGTAATATTATGCAGGAATGAAAAAAATATGTATTTCCTAAATAAAACATATGCGCTTAATCTTTGTTGCATTTAACATATTTGTGTCAATTTGAAAGGGCATACGGCCAAAGTTACAGAAAACACTACAACTGCCACAGAACCAACGGCAATGTCGATGACAAAACGCCGGGTAACAATTGCAGATGCATCTCATACATCAACCAAACATCCAATGAAAGAACAGACTTCAACCAAAAATAAAACAAAAGCAATGAACATTCAACCACAAGAGGAAGAGCAAAGTTCAGGTTGTATTTTAATTAATTCTTTCTTTCAGATGTATACGTTTGCATGACTTCCGACAAAAATATCGTTCAGTTAATTTATTAGATCTTCTTATCTTGTTTCTTAAACTGAATTATTTCGTATGTATGGACATAAGCGTCATTCACAAAGTAAAATATGTTAGTCTCTGTTGCATCGCAAACATATCAAAACCTTTCAGCACCTTATTTTCATTGACAAATTAGGACAAATTCGATACAGAGAACATTCGGATACAAAAATGCCGAAAACGAACATGCACTCGTCAGAACACTGAACAGCCAATGAAAGGCTTGTTTAGGAAATTGTTGTGGTCGATGGTCTATACAACATACGTATACATGATGTAACATTGCTGTCTTGAGAATCACATGTTTTAATGATAACTTTAGTTTTGATTTCATAATAATTTCATTTTACTAAATGATATCGTTCGAACAAATGAAAAAAACATCAGACAAAAAAAGAAAACACACACACGATTTCAAAAGTATTTTGCCCCGTAATTGCTCATTGAACTTTAACATTTGATTAAAAAATATAGCATTACATTACTGAGGAAGGTTCTTGTAGACATTGCTAACGTATTGCAATAATAGAATAATATAATTGTTGCAATACTTTTATTCATGTGTATTTATTTTCCGCAATGATGCATTTCAGATATAGGGATAAAAGTTGGTGTACCACTTGGTATAATATTACCTTTGACATGTGGGGTTTTGATTATCATTTATATTTACAGAAAAAGGTAAGATGTGTATTAATCCATTAAAGGTCATGGTTAACGTAACTAAAATTCTGACATTTACATGGATTTTCAGAAACAGTAACTTACATATTAAGTTTAGAATTGTTTTTGCAGTTTAACCAATGCCATTGCCAATACATTTATTTTCTTAAAAAATTAATTTGATAAAACCTAAAATACATATATTTTTGTTTCGTTTCTAGCATAAAATGTTGGCAGTCTAGCAATTCAAAACATGAAAATGGACGTATGAATCAGTTTCACATTCAAGAAACTTCGCCAGTTCATGGTCAGCTCAACGTTTACTCTGAAAGTATTCAAGAAACTCAAACATCATCTGAACACCATACGAGTGAAAATAATCTAACTGACATAAGCGCACAGTATGCTGTTGTCAAAAAACCTAAAAAGGTTGACACAAAATCCAAAAAAGATAATTCCTCAAATAAATCGTATCCGAATGATGAATATGATGTTACTGAACGGTTTCGAAGTTATAGATCTAATCAGTCGGACAATCTATACAATCATTTTGAAAGCGTGGACGAGTACAATTCAGCATCTCTCTTTAAAAAAGAAGGAGAATTTAACAATTTGTACAACACAGCAGGAGACCACAGTTTCGTTGAATCTGATTACGACTCAACAACACAGGTGAACAACACAGCATTGCCTGATGACGTTTACAATCATGTATCTCAAGATGACAAGAACTATGACTCTACATCAAATACTAGAAATAAATGATAAGACAAATTCGCTGAGCAAACCAAGTGTTACAGAAATTTATTGTTCATTAGAAATGCGCATCAAAAACTAGCTTTTTTGTATGATTGATATATAGTTTATGTGGTATATATAGTTTAGTGCTTTATTATCTCAGTGATTTTACATTTTCTGATTGTTAATTAATAATGATACCAGTATTCCAAGTGTTGAAGTTGGAATACTATACAGTACTTGAACTGATAATTAGTGATGACCAGAACATCTAGTGTTGATGACGGAACTGCTATACCCAATGTTTGGTCCTTGTTTGTCTGTTCCCTCATGTAAGATATTTATCTATGCTGAGATGTTTTCAATGCTCAAGACAAATGAAAGGTTGCAACAGTCAATACAGCAACGTTTTTATTCTTTCATGTTTCTTTGCCTTCCATGTATATATGCAATAAGTTTAAACAGTATGCAACATATTTCTTTTATTATTTTGGATTTCAATTTATATTATGTGTAACACCATTATTCAAGGGAAGAAGAAAAACTCGCGATTTCTAAAGTATTTGAGATTTATTGAAACGGTGTGATATTAGCAGAACAAATATCAAACAAAACAGGTCAAATGTGTACAATATATGAGAAAGGAAAATAACATGCCATCATGTATATATGATTTTAATTCAAAGCATCAAACGCACAAGACACGAAATAAAACAAGTAAACATTATCTTGAAAATATATTATATAAAGCGATCGAAACAGGCCAAAAATTAACTGATACGATTTGAAAAGTTGAAGACAAAAATAAAAATTGCAAAGTATACATCATTGTCATTGACTTTTTAATTGGTTTACTATTCCATGATAATAACCAAGATACTCTCATGATAATACCTTAGTAGGTATGTCCCGGTACGTTACGATACCGAAATCAACTTGATTTCGGTAAAGTTACCGAAATCAACTTTTCATTACCGAAATCAACTTATAAAATCACAATTAAGCGTTTTATTATATTTTTTTCATTATTATATATTACAATAGGTTAAGTTTGACTTTCATGCAAAAAATCAGTTCGAAATAATCATTAATAATGATATTAGAAACAAATAACTAAATATCAAGATTATTCCCTGATTTGTCACGAACCGAAATATATGTTACAATACCGAAATCGACTTGTAAAATCACAATTAAGCGTTCTATTATATTTTTTTCATTATAATCTATTACAATAGGTTTAGTTTGACATTCATGCAAAAAATCAGTTCGAAATAATTAATAATTATGAAATTAGAAACAATACCTATATTTCAAGATTACTTCCCTGATTTGTCACGAACCGAAATATATGTTACCATACCGAAATCGGCTTGTAAAAGTTAAACTAAATATTTTCATAGATCTTGTTTAATTAATTAATATAAAATCATTCAAACTGAACCATAAACATAGGAAAATAATATTTAATTATAAAAAATGATGATGTTATAGACGGATATATGTATTTTATATCATGATTACTTCCCTTGTTATTAATGTGTTGCATTACCGAAATCAAATCGGATTTCATTTCAAAGACGAGAACAACCCCTAAAATATTTGCATGAATTTCAGAAGTCTATGAAAAAGGTATTTGAGTGAGTTTTAAACTTTGAATTCATATCGCTTATTTACAATGTTTAGTCAGATAACATTGCAGCGTATCATCTCTTTGATGTTTCTTAATGATTTCAAAATACAAGATTAAACAAAACTGTGTTTGAAGTTATCCGCCTAATTTAGATCACTATTAAAATAGTTGATTGGAAATTATCACAGAATTTAATTTAAATCCAATGATTATGATTTGATTAAAATAAAAAGACGTAGCAACAACAACAACAACAACAACACATCTTTTATTCACTCAAACATGCATACAACATGTAATATGAGGATAATGTCAAAATATTTAACGAGGCATTTATACAAATTGAGATCAGAATATAATTACTAAACAATATCAACATATCTATTACATATTATTAAATTAAATGCATATTTTGCTTAGGAAACAATTTTTTTTCTTTTTTTTTTAAACTTATTAAGAAAATGCAAACCTGAATTTTACAACATTCAAATACTGCTTGAACAGAATGTAAGATATTTATTACTAGGATAATGTAGCTATAAATGTGATATAATTTGTCATAAAAGTTGTAAAATAAATAAAGTAATAGCGGTAGCCATTCATCATAACACCTTTACTAATAAGGAGCAAGCACACACGTGCTCGGACAATGGAGGTGTTAGTTGACATAATTAACATACTCGTTAACCGCAATCCTTTAATATATACATCGGCGCATGGAAACTTTAAAATATCCAAACAACATAATTAGACATAATTATTTTGCATGAAAATAAAGCTGCTTGTCTCCATTAAGACAAAAAATACATTACAGTTTAATATAAAATGACGTATAGCGGCCATCCCTATATAATATATATCAAAAGACTTTTTTTTTTATAGTTCTATATTATACATATTTCAGATCTAGTAAGCTGGTAAAAATATAATTTTATATTAAATAAATTGTCAAAAGACCGGTTTTAACTAATTTGTAGGGGTGGCCGTAGAAAACATTTCGGTATATGAGACAAGGTGCTTTGATATTATTATTACCAAATTGCATATCAGTTGTTCCAAAAATGTATGCAATTTTTTGATGTCCCGGATACTTAACTACATATTGTACTTATTGAAAAAGTGTTAAGTCATGATTTTATGTTGATCGATTTAAAATCATTTTAAATTTCATATCTGTAAACAGCATAAATTTATGGAATGACTGGTATATATTTATATGATGAAAAAAAAGGAACACTTTTTACTGACACATTTCAATTATGAAATGTTGTAACTTGTACGATATGACATGCTGTGTATTACTGTTTTAAGTAAGGTGTGAAGTAATTAAGACAGGAGGTACAGTTGACATATATTGTATGTAGATTATAATGAACCATCTGTTTATTTCGTATTAAACATTTAAGTAAATGACTAAAGTATAAAAATATTATAATAAAGAGTCCCCATAACATATGTTAGTGATCTGTTAATATATAGTTAAACTGTTCAATAAAAGAAAGACACAAACTTTCAAATTTCCAATTTTACTGCCTGAAACATCATACAATTTTTATGGAACATTTTTAGAGCAGTCGAATTATATATCTGTATTCAAATTTATAATAGAAAATCATAAACTTCCGATTGAAGTTGGATATTTTTTCTTCATAAAACATAAACATGTACAAAATTTATAATTATCTTTAACTCATATTACAGAATATTTTATTTTTCCATCATAGTCCGATCATAGCTTTTTAAAAATACGATTTTATTTAGAAAATTGTTATGCACGACAATCACATGCAGATATATAACATGCTAATATGGCGGTATCAGACTTTTTCTTAAATCATTATATACATTGCATTCTAATATGAAATGGTATTCGTCTTCTAAGACATTACATGAAAAACATTTTCTATCATTTAAAGGTATACTATTTGGTTTAGTCCATCTACCTGAGTCTATGTGCAATCTATGAGATGATACTCTTAACGTAGTGAGATCTTTACAAAACCGTTCAACATTGATAATATTTAGATATGGTTGAAACTTAAAAACAGAAAATATGTCTATAAAATAGAGCTCTACTAGAGTTATCTAATCTACTATCTACTAATTATATACATAATTTAAACTTCACCGCTGATTTCGGTAATGCTAAACACATAACGGGTTGTTTAGAACAAAGGGAAGTAACTCAATAATTACATTTTTGTTCATAACATCATAAAAATAAAATATTTTCAATAGATTTTTTAACTGAAAGTCTATTTTACTATTTTTCTTCAAATAATGAAGAAATAATAGCAATATTTTAACTAGGTTGGTTTTTACGAGTTGATTTCGGTAATGCTAAACACATAATGGTAAATTTTTCAATATTTTGAATAGCATGTTTGACAATTCTTACCTTAGTGTTAAGATAGAAAGTAATTCATGTTTACATGAATCAAAAAATAAGGAAATTGGTAAATTTCATGGTAGTTGTTTAACAAACACTTTTAAACAAGATGTTGGTGTCAAACAGGGTGATAATTTAAGCCCCAATATGTTTAAAATATTCATAAATGATCTGCCAAGTATGTTCTCTGATGAAGATGACCCGGTTTTGTTAAATGATTTAAAACTCAATTGTTTACTATATGCTGATGACTTGCTTTTATTGTCTAGAAGTCAGAAAGGTTTGCAAAGTTGTTTAGATAAATTGTCTGATTATTGTGAACAGAATTGCTTAATAGTCAACATTAGCAAAACAAATGTTTTAGTATTTTGTAAGGGCAAGTGTCCAGTTATTAATATCTACTATAGATCACAACTGATAACCCAAGTCAATACCTACAAATTCTTGGGTATTGTATTTTCTGCCAATGGTTTGTTTCATCATTGTCAGGAGGATTTATGTAAGAGAGCTTTAAGAGCATATTTTAAACTTTTGAAATGTATATCTAGTAGCAATATTAATGTTAAAAGTTTTGTGCATTTGTTTGACCATACCATTAAACCAGTGTTACTATATGCTTGTGAAATATGGGGCACAATTAATACAGGCTCATGTATAGTAAGAAAAGATAATTATAGTCTTGAAATGTCTTTTAGTAACCTTCCATGTGATAAGATACATTTAAAAGCCCTGAAATACATTCTTGGTGTTAATAAGAAAGCTACAAATGATGCTGTTTTAGGTGAAACAGGGCGTCACCCTTTTTATATAGATATTCTATGTCATTCTGTTAAATATTACCAAAGATTGGCAGGGCCTGATTGCCCTCACTTGTTATCATTAGCATTTAAAGAAAGTTGTCAGTTGCATGATCATGGTAAAACTAGTTGGATGTCAAGTATTTACTTTGTTAAAGATCATATGAATATAAACAACTTTTGCTCATATAATAAAAACATTCATCATATTGTCAAGTCCAAAGCCATTAATAGTTTTAAATCAAATTGGTTAAACAGAATGACTGTTTGTGGCGAACAACAAACTGGTAAATTACGTACATATGCCTTATTTAAGACTGTTTTTGTAAGTGAACAATATCTTAGTGTTTTAGGGGACAGTAATTTAAGATCATGCTATACAAAATTTAGAATAAGTGCCCATAGATTAGAAATAGAATGTGGTAGATACAAAAATATTCCTATCTCAGAGAGATTATGTAAAATGTGCAATCTAGGGAAAACAGAAGATGAAATTCATTTCATGCTTGAATGTCCTAAATATGACACTTTTAGAAGCATTTACCTTAAAGAATGTGCTGATTTATGTAAAAACTTTCCTACACTCAATTGTAAAGATCAATTTATATTTTTGCTTAGCAATGAAAATGAAAAATTTATTGAACTTACTGCATCTTATATATGGCAGTGTTATAACATACGGTCACTTAAAATTACAACAACTTAAAAATGCCAAATAATTGTGAGATTATTTCCCAATCTAATAGAAGTATCTTTCCCACATACTAGTGAGGGGTCAAATACATTCAAATGTGTAAAACTATCATCATGTTAATATGCGTTTATAGGTCAATAGCTGATTGTATAAATAATCATTTTAGTCAAATACATTTATACAGTACAACAATAATAGAACTTTTATGCATAATAAGTAATTGTAGTTATTTATTAACATCATTAATTAGTCTTTGTCAATGTACATCTCAAAAGATAATGTGGGTTAGTTATTGTTGAGGTTTTTAACAAATTCTATTTCTTTTATGTGTTGTCATTTAAAATGCCTTTGTTGAATACATATAGTTACTAGTCCTTTGTTAATTGTGTTATCAAATCAGAATTAGCTTATGTTATCTTATTATTGTTTTGTTTATGTACATTTAATGTACTGATATTTTATGTAATTGTATGCCTGAGAAGGCCCATGATTGGTAATAAAACATTATTCTATTCTATTCTATTCTATTCTATTCATAACGGGTTGTTTAGAACAAAGGGAAGTAACTCAATAATTACATTTTTGTTAATAACATCATTAAAATAAAATATTTTCAATATATTTTTTAACTGAAAGTCTATTTTACTATTTTTCATCAAAAAATGAAGAAATAATAGCAATATTTTAACTAGGTTGGTTTTTACGAGTTGATTTCGGTAATGAAAAGTTGATTTCGGTAACTTTACCGAAATCAAGTTGATTTCGGTATCGTAACGTACCCGGTATGTCCAGGTAAATCATCGCATTTATTATGGTGGCAATTCCAGATGCATTTGGTACTATTGCTATCAATATATTTACAGGTATATAAAAATTATACCTAACTTTACCATCTACTAACATGTTTTACTAAAAGAACCCATAAACTGACGACCCATTTACATAATATTACAAAATTAACAAAATTACATTTGACAGATAACTGTAAAAATCATAAAACATAATTATATCATTAATGAACATACGTAAATTACATATCAGACCTTATGTAATGTTTTCAAATACACGTCATGGGGTAACACTTTACTAATCTAGGGGTTCTTAGCTCAGTTTTATTATTTGCATTTGCCATTATCAATTTTGGTGATATCAATATGACAATGATATCAGTCGCTACTGTGTAGAACCTGACCAGACTGCATAGATGTACAGGCTTGTCTTGATTGCTGCGTTGATGACAAAAACTAATTACCTTCAGTTGGTTTCAGCAGGGCAAGAATTAAATAATTCTATAAAACGTTGGAAGTATTTTATTCAAAATACATTGAAATCAATATTTAAGTGCAATGTAGCAATGTTTTGAAGACATGAATGTTGTCTCAGCAAATGAAATTGTGTGAGAAGAATATGCTTGATGACATGGATATCAAACCAAAGTTAAGTTGCAGTGACTATGTTTTCCCGGCAATGACAGTATATTGTCTTACTGGCATAATTTCAGTAGGAATTAAATACCAGTGAGTAAACCAAAACTTCCTGTTGGGATTCAAACACACAGCGGTAAGGGGCAAGTGGATCAGTCAACGACATTAAGCACTCGGTCATGGACGCCACTATACACTCCAAGTGTCCTCTTAAATGAAACGCTCAGATTAGCTAAAGCATTGTAATCAAAGAATACAAAAGCTGACTTTCATTGCAAATCATATATATTAAATAATAGTTATTAACCCCACTAAGTAGCTTTATATATATATATATATATATATATATATATATATATATATATATATATATATATATATATATATATATATATATATATATATATCCCATTTTTAATAATAATAATAATAACGAGATGATGATGATGACGACGATGATGATGAAACATCTATTTGATTTGCAGCTTTAATTAAGTCTGCACAGTTAAATCTTCATGGAAAAAATCACTACTTTATTCACCTTTCTGATTCGTATTACTGAAAATATAGCCTGCAATAAAATGAATATTTTTCGGTATGTAGAGTATTCATGCAATCTCATTATCTCTTATTAGCCGAATGTCTATTACATTATCTCATATAACCAAACAAAACTTGCAACTTAGTTCCCTTTACGAATCGGAATTAAAATAAGCTTATTAAAACACTCTCGAATCTGTTCCTGGAACAGACAAGTACTTTGCAATGAGTGTAAAGTTTTCGCTTAAGGAAACAACGTATTACCCCATTCGGAACTGCCTCGGCTATTATCTATACAATACGGATTGAAAGTAGTTCTACCACGTGGTTTCAGATGTAAACAGAAACAGAGATAATGTTAAACGATATACTTGACATCTTATGTCTGTTCCGAAACTATTTTGCTTGAAAATATGTCTGACAACAATTTGTAATTTAAATATGCCCACTGATGTTCAACTTTAAACAAATTCGACTAAATGTCAACAGGTTGGTTGTTTGATGGACTTTTACTACATTTATTGGAAATAAACTTGTCAACAACTCCCAGCATTAAATTACTATTTGTTAACATGTTTAGATTCTAAGCGTAGGTTAGACCGAAATACCGCATCCGTTCTGTGTATTTATACAATTGTGTTCGAGGTACTTATCCGAAGACTGACGGAAAGGGCCGAGTATTTGAGATTGCGTATTACCCATCTGACGGGGTTTAAACCAACGAGGACAGTACTCCTTAGATTACAAGTTCGACGCGTGAATCACTCGGCTATGACGTCACATATATTCCTTTTCATTGCCTAAATGAAGTACGTTCATTAATGGTCACATGGTTTGTGTAAAATTCAGATTATTTTAACAAATGAAAGTATTTTCAGTAAAGAAATGGTTTATTAAACCCCTATTTATGATTTATTTCTTTTTTCTTCTTAAAATAGAAATAAGTTCGAGCATGTCATGTATTAAAATTAATGAAAATTCTAGCAGCGTTCTTTGTGATTGGAAACAATATTTTCAGTATGTTCAAATTTTCATTGTCTTTTTTGACGAAAATTTGACGGATGGCAGAGCAAAATTGGAACTTACTAAAACCCTCTATCTGTTTGAATTGGAAACAAACTGCCAAGTTATTACGTTTCTATGACTAGGAGCTTATAAAGGAAATATTATCTTATAATACAGGGCATGATAGAAAATTATATGCGTTATAATAATACAGAGTGTACTTATATGAAATTTACATTTTTACAATAAATATATATATTATTAACATGATTTTGTAAACGTTAATTGGGTGTTTCAGGTATGTTAAACAAAATGCTATGTAAGAAAAATGAAACAAAATGAACTCTAGCTACAGCAAATACTCTGTCCTGCTGATGAACTATACACAAATAGTTTGTCTAAAATAACTGTTTTTGATTTGCTCAATGAAATCGTCATTCACGTCATCAATTGTCACACCCTTTACCGCCAACTCTTCTTTTACCCTCTGTAAATATGTAGCGTCAGGATATCCAAACCTAACGAATAAAGAGAAATAGTTTGGTTATACTATCTTTAATAGGCTTATTTCCCATGACTCTTGTACAGTTTCCTTAACAAGCTCTACCTTTTTTGTATCATTATAAATTAAAAGAACCTTATGATGTCCATAATGGGATGGAATTATTGTGATTGAGTCAAAAATTGTAAAGAATTTTTCTTAGCTCAATTTCTGATTTCATGTACAATCGGTATTTGTGTTGGTCATAAACTAAGACATAATGTACATTGATCCATGAAAAAATCTTGAATCAGAACTCAAGAAAAAATATAACCTCGGTGCATATTTGTCACCAACCATCAGAGGTGGCACATGAACTGAAATATCTATTGTAATTCGTTTCTAACTTGTATTTTTTTCTTAATATCGATTTTTGTTTTCATCTTAAAGCGTTTTATATACTCAAAGGTAACTACTTATAGGAGAAGTAAGAGATCTTACTGTGTATAAGGTCTAAGGTCTGTCTTATGATGGATGTCATTCCAAGTGATAACACCTTCTTGTCCCGTTGTTCTAGACGTTCCTATTGTAAAAACAAGGCGACGCTCAAAAGCAACCTTCAGCATTGCACATATCTCCCTGCCCTCCTTGTTGTCAGGTAAAAATGCTGTACGAGAAATTCCTTTGTAAAAGTCACCAGGTTTAGGGTGAGCCGGCTATAAAAAAAGGGTTTTAGAAATTAATAGGATCACCCAGAATTATTACAAAATTACTTTCGGTTTATATTTTATCATGCATGTGTAGTATTTAAGCTCCTGATTCTTCATCTACTTTTTGTAAGTAGTGCAAATATGAAACAGAGTTCAAGCTTTGTATGAAATAATTATTACCATTTTACTCCTAACTCAAAATGAGATTAGAGTATATGGAGAAGGTTTATCCGATGAACGAGAAGGAGCTTCTTGGTGAGTTTTATTGACCAAAAATTCACTTTCGCAGGAAACCGGATAGACCTCATATCCCGACAACAACCAATTATTCAAATTTTGCTATTGCCTAGTTTAATCATTTTTTTATTATTTTTTTTTCTATAATATTGATCATTCTTATTTTATCCCACATTTAAACAGCGTCTATATGCAGTTTTGTTTTGCTGCTAACCATGTTACGTCATCATAAAGCTAACCATGAGACGTACTGATGACTGGAGATAGATAAGTTGAAATCCGGCAAGTCTTTATCCAGCTGATAATATTTCTATAGAGAGTAGCAGGATAAATTACATTTTCAATTAGGTGAGAACATACATATCTTCAAAAACACAACAAAAAACAAAAACAACAACAATTTTTCAGAATATGCAAACTGTATCAAAAGTTTCCATCTTAAAATATGATAAACAAGATCAACAAGGAAACGCGGCGTGCAATAAACGAAACCCCCACACGATGCAGCAACAAGAGCATTGGCAAGGAGTCCAGGAGGACCCCAAATTAAAACAGGACAGGGAACAAGGCAAATCATGGGCAGATTAATGACTACAATCATACATACATACAATAAATAATTAGTTACTGATAAAAAATTTAAAGAAAACTAATAAATTATCAAATAAAAGCCCATAAAGTCAATAGGGGAAGGAAACAGGAGACCCAGAGAATGGGGGGGGGGGGGTAAATAAAAGGAATAAAATCTAGGGGCAAAGGAGAAGATACTTACCGTAGACGAGAAAACAACAAGGGACACAAAATTGTCACCGAAACAGTATGAAACAACAAAGACATACATTTTAGGAACACATAACGGCACCGCTTTGGAACGGTCAGCAGCATAAATACTGCTAGGGAGTTTAAACCGGTTAATGGTGCACCAGACCTCACTCTTAGTCCCACCATGTACCTATAAACGAAACAGTGTAATTAAAATGAATCCCCGCCAAGTGAAATTCTAACAGTTGTCATGGTTACAAAAGGTAAATAAGTAAAATATCAAAATGCTCATGTAGAAACTTACAAAAGAAAACCCAATGACCATAACAAAAGTACTCAATGTCTTAAGGAAGACAGAGCAACAAGAAGATCACCATTCAAGGGCCCAACGAAGCAAGACAGAAGACGAACATTAAGGCAATTCAGTCATAAAGGAAGAAGAAAGTTGTAGCGTCCAACTGTAAATGGGTTGAACACTTATCATGCGGTGGGTCATAACCACTTTTGATAAAACATTTAATAATTTTAGTAAAGGCAAGAGAAAAATTACAATGACCCAAGATCTTTCGAAGTTTGTCAACAACATCCCCGTAAAAATCAGACTGGCTAATTCCTTGCGCAGAAATGTTTTTAGATCACTATTGAATTTTGAAATTAAATCAGATTACGATTGTAAAATTTTGTAAAATATTTCGAAATTTATAATAGCGGTAACCCTGTTTGAGTAGCTTACATGTAATGAAAATATTTCGCTCGTTAAAATCCTTAACGTTGATTCAAGCTCTAGCGAATCTAGTTAACTGAGATATATAAACCCTGTAAGATGTTACATGCGGTACGTCTTCATCCAAATGTGGATAATTTACTATACCAAAATCAAAGTCATCTCTTTTATCATAAATTTTCGTGTGAATAGAATTGTTTTTGAAAGTGATATAAAGATCCAAAATGATGTAGTTAAATTTCAAGAATTCGTTTTATTAAGTTGTAGCTCAGTAGGATAAATATTAGACACCATTTGATCAAAATAAGAATTATCAAAATTAAAAATGTCATCAAGGTATCTGGAAGTGTTATTAAATGCTAATATCACATCTTGTTGTCTATTTTAAGAGAGACTCAACATAAAAGTTTCTTTCATAGCAATATAAAAACAAATCGGCGAGAAGGGGTTCACAATAAGAACGCTTAGGAATACCTATGACTTGTTTAAATAGGAATTACCAAACTTGACAAAAATATTGTCTAAAAGAAAAGAGAGTGCTCTACAAACTTCGTCACAGTCAACTATTTCCCGTGCAAAAGTTTTCTGAATAAGGGAAATTAGTTTATCATTAATTTAAGTTATGCGGCAATGTAGTAAAAAGGGTAGAACAATCGTATGTACTGAAAGTTGAATGTTGATAGTTCTTATATTCAATTTATCCAAAATTTCACTGGAACTCTTAATGGACCAAAAGAGATGTTTGCCGGTATTTTCGTACACTTTTATTACAATATTTAATTACATGTGATTTAATGGCATTAAAACAAGACGTCAATAAAATGGAAAGTTTACTTGTTGTGCTAGATGTAGAATTAGAAATGAATCTGGCCTTGTAAGGTTTTTTAATGTAATTTAGGAATCCAACACATAATAGGAAGTTTCGATTCGGACTTTTAGACTGGAAATATTAGTGACATAATTGTTAACAATGTCTTTTTCTGAAGCAGTGGTTTTTGAATACGCATTAGTACTATAAAGTTCCTAATGTAAAACGTTAATGTAATGGATACGTAATACAATAATACAATAATGATATTATTAGCCGTCTTGTCGGCTGGCACCAAAACAAATATTGAGTGAAAAGCTAGAATATCCTTTTTCAGATGTCGCAAAGTAAGTCTCGTTTAGGTGGAAGAAGATATTCATTTCCACGATAAAAATTAATACGTGAATAATGATACGTTTCCAAAGCCTTTTTATTGTGTATGCAACAATGTTGAACTATTGAAACTATATGCAGCCATATTCTTAAGGACGTTTTCGGGAGTTTTTATATAGACATGTAGGCAAAATTAAAACTGTTTCATAGAAATTCTTTTAACTTGGCATGTTGTTAGAATATGATAACAGAAACATTTTAAGCGAAAAAAAATTGGCAAAAATTGCCTATAAATAATGGTTCTGAGCGTATTCATAGACGGCAACGGTTAATTCAAACTACCTTTTACTCACCATAGCAACGGCTTTGACAGAACTCAATTAACATAAATATGGTTAATAAAAACGTTTGGACAGATACAGTTTGAACAGAATTACTTTACATACGTTTCTATGCAAGTTCTAGTAAAAGGTAATTTTATCTATGGCCAACACTCAAAGAAGTGCATTCCAAAACAAATACCCCTTGTTTTCCATCTCCGAACTGGTACGTTATAGCAATGCCTTTGCAAACTTCAAACCCCGTTACAGATTGACGGATTTTGTCGATTCTCATTTTACCAGATGGTTGGTCACCGGTCACTATACCGCAAACCTTTCCACATGTTGGACAGACCATTTTTACCTAAAGAATACAAAGAAAAGATATCTTACGTTTCTGAAACATGTCAAATAAATCAAATTAAAAAAAGGAAGAAACAAATGAGCTTAGAGACCAAATCTTAACCAATGAATTGGATTTAGTTTAAAATTTACTTGTTTTGTTCAAAAATATATATACGTATAACAGAAAGTTACATAAGAAGTACAATGCATACACTTATTATGCATTTATATGGTTTTAATTGAATACTTCACATACAAAGTGCGAACCCTTATCATTTGAATTTCGATGAAGAAACTCTAAAAATATGAAAAAGGGTGATCCATTAGAAGCAATGAAAACAACTATATCATACGAAATTGCAGACTCAGTTCGATTGAGTCTGTCAATGACAGATAATATACAAGTGTAAAATCTTTCACGCCCACTAGCATCGGCTTTTGCAGTATTCAATGAATTGGAATTAATGATCCCGAAGGACTAGAAAAAATATAATAACACTAAAGTAAAGTAAGGGGCAACGTTTTACAGCTGCCACATGGTACTTGACGTAGTGTAAAATATCGGAAAGAGTGGTACTTAGAACATATGGAAATGAAATAATATGATTTTATGTCTTCAAATCATGTACAGTTTCCCATCTCTGTGTCAACAGTGTTTATCAGGTAACAGTCATTCCAATATAAATAAAGTAGTAATTAGTTTTTTTTTTAAGTATTCTTCCTTTGTGTCAGTAACCTTATAAGACTTAACGAGAAAACATTTTGTTATTCTTTAAAGATACATGCAACGGATATTGTTTAAAACAGTTATTATATACATGTGTAGATAAGAAAGATTATGATACTCTTAAAGGTCGAATTGAAATAATACGCGTCCCATTTTCATTTACTCAGTTCAGGTTATGTAATAAACAAGAATAGTCTTGAATATATATAATTGTTCCTATTACATGCCGAAATAATTAATTTGTGTGAATAAATTACTACTAACACGAAAGTATCCGTCGATGCATTCCGAGCAAAATATATGCCCACAGTTTAATCTTTTCTCATCGGTTACTTTGTCCATACAAATGACACAGTCCTCGGTTGTCTGAATAAAAAAAATAATCATAAAATCAGGCATAATAAATAATTCTAGTAATAATAACTTAAAGGTCAAAGCTAGAATACTTCGAGAATAAGTTTTACTAAACAAATAGATTCGTCCAAAATGTACGCCGTCAAAAAAAAACACTGAATATTTATAACAATAACAGCAACTAGTATCAGTGGCGTTAGATGCTTCATTTGTTTGGTTAAAAGATCTAAAGACTTTCAAGTCACAGCAACACTTTACTTGGCGCTTCTTCTTGCACAAATTAACGCACAAAACACATGGGTAGAACTTGCGAGCTTGTTTGTTGTTTTTTTCTCACTTTTTTACGACGATGTTAACTCAGTTTCTTTTCCATATTCACATCTTAGGCGTTAATCAACCTAACCGACTTCGCTTAATAACTTAGCAGCAATTATCAATTTCTCTGCAAGTGTCAGACTATTAATACCACATACATTTTTGTAATTCGTGAAGCGCCGGTGAAAGGCTAATGACCATTAGGATCAATTTTCACGGACCTAACACAGCTGAATAGCTTCCTCCAATAAAAGAAAACAATAACGAGTCGTTGGGTAGTCTCAAACTAACGGCGAGGTGTAAGCGACTTAAATTCGCTAGTAACAGAAATTATTTACTTGCGTACGTGGCATGTTAATATTATTTGATAATTTCATTTTAAGTATATATAAAATGTGTATGTACATTAATATACGCTCATATATATTAAACGTCTTAATAACTCTTATTAATTAAATATAAAGTTTAAACAAACGGGCTTCCTAGAATTGATATTATCATAACACACCTGTTCAACAGCTGATTCGTTGTTGATATGTACCTTAGGTTTGTCCCTACCAGTGTTCTTCATGTTTTTCATTGTATTTGTTTCTTTATCGTGTATCCCCATCTTTGTTTGTTCCACTTGTGTGTCAACAAACTTACTTAAACAATTCGGCGCAGCTTTTCTTTCAATTAACATAGCATAGAATATTTTTTGAACAATATCTATCATGTCCGAATCTTTATCCACTACATGTAGTTCTTTCAAGACGTCGGTTCTGTCACCAAATTCAAGAATTGCCTCTGCATACTGCACTGCACACACATCCTTCGGAACTTTAAATATACCTAAATTGAGAGAAAATTATCTGCGTTTATGATAAGAAATTTTGGTCTAGAAATCTGAATTTTAACTGTGACAGATTGGTGGACACTCACATATTTTTGACAACGTGCACGGCCAACAAATCAGGTATTTTTTATACAGAATATATTTGCTTAAATAAGGCACATATATCGTTGAATATCAAAATTCTAGTACTTTACCAGAATAGAGCCGAATTTGAGCGAAGTCTGTCTGGTTTTACATTTTTCTAAAATAAAAATCCTTGCATGTTTTCAAAATATGGCATCGATTTAAACGATGTGAAAAGATTGTAGAATATCGGAGGAACTTCACATAGAGTCGTAACAATCGAAGAAAAAAATATATAGAGTCGTAACAATCGAAGGAACCCCCCCCCCCCCACCTCCCCCCCCCCCCCCCAAAAAAAAAGCAACAAAAAACATTAAAGAGAAAAAAAAACTCTAGCAGAAATATTTTCAGAATTCTTCGAAGTGCACTGGTTCAATAAATAAACAAAGTTTCTTCTGATGAAATACCTTATGACGAAAAGTAATACTGTATATGTAAGTAATGCACATAGGATCTCAAGTGAGCTGACCTGTAATATTTTAGTGATTGATATCAAGCAGACTATAAAACCTTTAATAAAAGAAAATTGAGGCTCATGTAAAATATTTGTGGAAGACGTTTCATTTCTGTGTAAACAAGATTCCTTTGTCATATGATAATAACGCTTATGATAAACTGACCGTAAACGTTGAATTACATAAGAAAAGATAACTTGCTAATAATTGTTTGTCAAAAATTTGATTACGTCATTAACTGTATTACAATTGACATAAAAGGTATGTAATATAAAGATATGCTTAATATTTACACACGGATTACCGGTATATGTTACAACTAATAATATGTTTTAACAAATTACAAAGCGGTTGCAAATAGCCTGCAAATTCATCAAATCAATTGCATCAATATTTGAGTGTTAAGATTTTTGTTAAGTTAATTCACAACCTACCTGAACTTATTGTTGGTATAGCGAGCGTTTTTATTTGTTTACTTTCTGCCATCCGCAAGCACTGTAGATATGTAAGTTTTAAATCGTCAGCACATTTTTGTACGTTTGCCTCCGTAAATGGTTGGTAGTCTCTCCACCTCGGACCAACAGCATGCAGCACATGTGTAAAGTCAAGGTTCCCACCCGATGTACACACGACCGAAGACACTTTGAGTTTGCCTAATTTGGAAGAAAGGCTATCGCAGTATAATAACTTATTTAAATAACTCAACATGTTACACTGTGAAGAAGAATGAAGATTAAGTTTAAGTTGTTTTTTTGCAATTTCCTAAACGACAAAACAAACTACAAGATACGCTCTAAATAAGAAACTAGAAATTAAAGTTTTACTGCATAGAAGGAAAATTTACCTTCCTCTTTCACAATATTCCTGCTTTCCTCTTCGAGTTTTTTCCCTGCGTGCTTAGCAATAGCCCCAGCTATGCCTCCGATATGCAGAAGATCTTCATTAGCAGCATTTACTATTCCTTCAGTCGGCACTTTTAAAATGTCGGCCTCATAAACCCTTATCACTAAGTTACCATTTTCATAAATTTCTAGGTTTTTTACATCTTTAGACAAAGAAAAAGCGCGTTTAACAACTGATCTTCTTTTTATTGGTCTTAAAGCACCTTGGTATCGTCCTTTTTCTTGTGTATAATCTGCTTCATTGCCAATTTGGTGTTTCCTCGTTTGCTCATGCGGTTTTTCTTGCAAATCTAGTGTGTCCATTTTAGGCAATTTCTTTATCTTTAGATTCCAGTGGTCGTTTTAGCAGTCAAGTCACATTTTCTTTGCCGGCCAGTTATTTTGAGTTTAAATTCCACAGTGGTGTTTTTGAATTGTGACGAAAGTGAAAACTCTCTCACGTTTTTTAATGTTTCTATTTTAATAAAATAGCATAGGATATATATGAATTGAAAAATTGTGACTGAAAATCGCCCCAGTTAATAAACAGAATAAAAGGCTGCTTTTTGTAGAAAATACTTAACACTCGCTTTTTTTATGAACTTCTGTCGGGAAATTCAAATAAAGCTTTATAACATTATAGTCTTATAAAAAATATTTTTAATATTAATAGTTTTACGGTTTCATAAAGGTTCGGTTATTTTTTCTGATTCTGTGAATAATTTGGTTTCCATGGTCACGGATTAGTCTTTGTCAACAATATAAAGTCATGCCAGTCTATACACACATAAAGTCTGACCTTTAAACCTTTAACTTGTTGGAATCAAAAGCGATTAGTCTTTGCCTAGAGTATAGAGCAATGTCAGCCTGCACATTTGTGCTGTCAGACCAGACTATCATGCTGGGCTTCCTACTGAGGGTACTGTTTTTTTTTCTTGGGATTTGTCGGGAAAACGTTCTTTGAATGGCGTCCATCCTTATGATATTTTATACTTCTATATTATTACATCTAAGCCACTCAATTATACTTATTAAGTAGGTTAATGATTAAGGAACTATTCTTACAAAACTGACACTAAATTATACTTTGCCCCATCTTATTCATGTATAAAAAGCAGTCATTTGTGTATTAAGGAAATAGATAAGTAACCGAAATAGATAGTAAGCTGAGAGCAAACAAAAACATCAACACTTACTCTGTTTGTCTTCCTCCTTTTTAAATTTCTAAAATGATAAAGATATTTAACAGTTACCGCAGGAGAAACAAGGCAAATTTCAATTGATAATTACCACAAGATAAACATGGAAATTCCACGGTCGAATAAAAAGAAATAATATACATGTACCAGAACGATGATATTGGGAGCTAGGTATACGCGAGGTAAATAGGTAAAACAGAAACCCTATGCGTGCATATTTATGATGTCGTTGTTTCAGGTGATACGCCAATAAAAAGTTATCTTTTCATTCATGTGTATTGATGTATCTACGTTCACGATCAAACAACATAAATACATTTTGAGTATAAATGTATATCGTAATATTCATTTGATAAATGATAATTGCGCTACATTGTAGTTAAAGGTGTTGCAATTTTGAGTTTGAGACCTTGTAATGCAATCAAATGGAGTTTTTGTTGTTCAAAATATTTCATGTAATCTAAATAATGTTTTGCAATCAAATATGACTAAAACGCGGTACACAAAAACAAATGGACATACGACTTACATTGTCCTAATAAAGATAAAACTTAACAAATTTTTGTAAATAAATATACTAGTACGTTACTCCCGTCTCATTCCTTTTTACCTCGGCCAAGTTGCACCATCAGATTTAACTTTAAGCCATGGTTTCTGCTTTTTTGTAAAATTTGATTAAAAAGCAAATTGTTTTGTTCTTTTTAAAATACGTTGACCTAACCAAGTTACTTAAACCATTAGAGACATTAACAACACTTTGTGCGCATTGAAGAGGTCTAGTGTTTCTTTGTGAAAAGAAAAATATGTTACAATGATTATATTTCAATGGGACTGAGTAAAAGATAAATGTTTGACATTGAACTAACTCTTAATCAAATAATTCATAATAATGTATTTGCATTTACTACTAATTAAATGACTTTTGCTTAATTGACTGTTGGAACAAAAGATAAATAATATGTAACTTCACTTTATGCGTCAGTATAGTTGCTAAGCCAATGGAAGAACTGACCTAAGGTAGTCCCCGAAATTACATTAAGAAATAAAGGTTGGAAGCGGTATGAAACTATTTTTTATTTTATCACTGAGAAATGGCGTGTTATCAATATAAAAAAGCAAAACGTTTAAAACAAAGTGTCTACCTCATAAAGAGTGGTATCTTTATGATAAACAACAAAGCGAACTTCTGCCAAAGGTTTATCTGGTCGACTTTGTCTGTATCGCTCTACACTCCCGAACATTTCAGAGCAGACCAATTCTATGGGATAAGCAAGATTTCCAGAACCAATAATCGGAAACGCTATTGTTTCATGTCCATTTGTTGTTGCTGTTTCCAAACATTGAACAACTGCTTTTCTAATACTCTGTTGAACGAATAGATCAAATCGCATGTTTAATAAATCGTTACTATTGTTAGTTATGTACATTATAAAAATTAATATTGATTTACTTTAATGCAAACATATTTTTGTCTTATGAAATATTTACATTGAATTTAATTACAAACAAATAAACTAGACGAGAAAAAATATTTGACTTCAATATATATTTGTTACAGGTGCCGTTCTTATCAAAATGTGTTTTGAGTAAAGTTTTCTTTCTGTCCGAAATATATTAAAATTCTCAATCCTCATTTCAATTTGAAGACAATTATGCAATTGGAAAAATAATTAAAGCAGTTCAGTTTTTAGCTTGCCAAACATGTTTCCTTTTTTAGTTCTAGAAGCTTCTGGATGGGGTCCATTGTGTTTATTTAAGCTTTCTTATAACAGAGGACCACCATCATGTGCAAATTTAGATTGATAAAAACCCGTCCACTAATTCATAAGCCTGAAAAAGTTTTAGTTTCTTAATTTGTTTCACCGGCCCTTAAAGACTTAAAAGATGCTAAGAAAAATATTTTACAAAAAAACTGATGAGGTCAGAAGCAAGGAAAACATAGCTGCTACTCAATATATTTCAATAACAAATACCTAGTTTGGCAATTATTACAAATTAACTCTGATGAAAATATTCGTTATTTATTTAACAAGAATAAATAAAAGTCCTACAGTTTACAAACCTCAATGCACTGTTTGACATCTACGTAGTATGGCAAAGTAATGTGAAACAGTTGTTTGCACATTAAATTAAAACCTTTCGTGATGGCTATTGTACCCGGCGATATTCCATTTGGAAATTTCAGTTTGCATTCCTTTTGAAGGTCAGGACCAACTGCTTTTGAGAGAGCAGCTGACACGTTACCAACACGCAGATCCAAATTTGGCCCGGTTGTATTGACAAGGACATCTGCCTAAAAGACAACAGCTTTAAATATTAGGAATCGCAAGGACTCGTAAAAACAAAAAAAAGGTCAAAACATATCTAAATGGAATATATGTATATTTAAAAAATACTTATACGGTGAACACTGTGAAAAGGACCTGAATTGATAAGAGAATTGATCATGAAATTGACAAAAAAGAACTTAAATAAACAAGAACAAAAATAAATTCACCTCAGTTTGGTCAAGCTGCTGTTTTAAAACCCTGATGACTGGGTCAACAATCTTGTCTTTCAAATCTGAAAGAAAGTCTAACATGGAGCCAATGTAAGCCATTTTGCGCAAAACATTTGTGAGAGTCAGATATGCTTTTGAGACTCACATTTTTTTCAAGTTTTAACTACGCGATTATCACGATTATCACGGTTATCGAAAAATTCTACTCCCGCTGCACCTCGGTATTTGTGAGCCATGAAAGAAATATACGAGTAAATAATACATATAAAGATATTGAATAAACTTACAAAGTTTAAAACAACATTTTATAACTTTGAAGAGTTTATCTCTGCGATTCTTATTCTGCATATTTACCATAAATGTTAGTCTGATATAAAAAAAAATCTTGTTTTGTTGTTTTTCCCTTGATGCTTTAAAGAATATTGATAACGATATTATGAAAGAAAATACGAAAGTAACCTTTCTGCCAGTCTGTCACACATTGTTCAATATATTCATCCATCTTCTTAAAGTGATCCATAGACTCTGTGAACAAAATCACACAACTTGGCCATACATGTGACTGATCAAGAAGCCATGATACAGAAATCTTCACAAAACATTTCATATATTCATCGAATGGCCAGTTACAAAATGATGCCATAGAAATAGCAAGCGTAGTTTCGTGCCCATCTTTGGCCTTAGAAAGAAGTTTTGTCGCAACAGCTTCTGTTTCCTGATAATTTCCATCGATCCAAGGTGAAACGGGCACTTCAATTGTGTTGCCGTGACGGGAAAATCTCAGCCCTTTTAAAATAAAAGTTGTTTTGCACTGAGTAGAAAACGTATTATCTTTTTTCCAACTGGAAGGACATTTATGTTCATAAACTGGGAGGACATTTATGTTCATGATATAGAGAGAACGATATGAAAAGAAAAAAGTAAGAAAAACTTGAATTATGATTATTACTATTCCAAATACATATATGTACACATGTATATGGTGCCTTGTGTTGAATTAAATGTAATGACAGTTAAATGTTGCACAGAGAGCTAACCGTTAATAAAATTTTTTGTAAAAAAACAGTTTAGCAATACTACTATACAAAAAAACCTTATTTTTTATCATTCCAGTAAATACCCTGAGACTGAAAACTGCCTGACCTAACATTATCTTATAGATAAATAGAAAAAAATGAGTTTTGTAAATAAAATTATAAAATACGGATATATCCCCTTCCATGTCAGTTTGTAAAATAAATATATAAGAAAAAAACACACAAATAAATGCAAACGAATTAAATTAAATGAGATACCGTTCTTTACTACAGACTTAACACTTTTTGATAAACACTTTTGAAATTTTTATTTTTTTTTAATTTTTGTAAGTTGGACTGACTGACTTGTAGCAATGATTTTGAACTGCTTATCTTAAGCTTGTGATTTACCTGTATATCTTTAACGTGTTTAGCAAGACTGTCGGTGATCCTTTAAATCGAATCATCGAACAAATGTTTGGCATAATAAAGTTTTACTATTCTAAATTATATCTAAAGCTAAAATTATATCTAAAGCAGTGTTATATGAAAGGTGTCTCAAAGGCAGCCTACCTTTAGATTCATCTAATTTAGGAATAGCAAAAGCAGAGGCCTTCACATCATTCGGATTGCTTATCTGAAGTATCAGTTCTCTTTCCTTATCATCCAACCATACGATCTCTTCTAATGAATGCTTTTTGGTAACCTTTTTGCGACCAACATAATATAGAACTTCTTTTTCTATGTAAACTTGTTTAGTCTGTTCTAAATCACTAAGAAATATCTTGCCCAGTTCCTTGCCAAAGAATGTACTGGCCTGTTGGCTGACCTGATCCATTTTCTCACAATACATCATTTTTAAAATACCTTTTACTTCTTCATAAGCTTTCTGTATGTTAACACTTAATCCTGTGATTTCGATTATCATCAGTTTTTGGTGAAATATTATATTAACTTCATATTTCTTTTTAACAGCTTCAAAATCAACACATTTTTCTAAACAATGCAACTGCAACTCTCGGTCTAGCGGAAAACATTTAATATCAGTTGGTAGTAACTGTTGTCTGTGAGTATCTGTAAGTCTTCCCTCTCTGTTTAACATGAAGAGTTCTTCCATGGCATTCGCAACTGCTTCTTTTAATCCAATCAACCGTATCCGCCTTTCTTTGTCTTGAATAACAAGGAGTTTTTTCTCGTATTTTTTACAAAATAATGTCAATTCATTTTGCCTAAGATTTATAGAAGTCGGTGATATATAGTCGATAACCATCCCGCTTATAAACCGTTTTGCTTTCCTCAATGTTGTCACATCAAATCCATAAACGTGAACCTTACTTTTCTCTTGTCTCACTACACATTTAGGGAACTTCAATTTAAGCGTTTCATTTAGCGAATTTTCAACATTCAGCTTATGCAGTTCTGACATTACTTTAGAAGAGAAACTTACTTCAACACTACGCACATCATTTTCTAGATTCCTTATTATACCTATGGCTTTTGTCACAGCTTTCTCAGTTCCTCTAAGATTGCAGTCTAAATGTCCACTATTCTCTTTAAAATCAAAATCTGTTAATCCTTGACCAATATCAGTGTTGTTACGTAATCTACGAAATACCTGTTCTCTCAAGATTTGCATTTGTTTCTTCACCAATATAGATCTCTCTTTACTTCGCTCTTCTTCTTTAAATGGTTCTTTGTGATCGGTTAAATGTTTGTCACGTGTCCGTTCTTCTACTTACAAAAGAAATAACAATGAAATAACTAATTGGCTTACAGTGTATTATTTCCTATTTGAAGACAAAACAAATGTTTAATGTAATATCAATAACTTGTTATATGTTCTAAACAGTCAAAAAATCGGCTATTAATTTAATGTTGTCACATTTTATATTGTTCAGATGTATAAAACAACGACTTTAATTTAAAAAGATCAAAATAAGATATAAATATTTTAGTAATGAAAACATCATCAAAGTAATGATAATCTTGAGTAGATAACTTGCGTATGTCGTAAACTTCGGCATTAGTTGATGTGGGGTGTTGTTCTGTTGTTTTAAAAAATCTTTCTCCATTTGGAAAAGCAAACTCCTTTGGTCGGACACCACCGGCAATTTCACTTGCTGACCTCGAAAAAGGTGTGGGTTTTGTGACAGTCTGAAATAAATATTTCAATTAAATTCTTAACCAGATTTATTAAAGTCAGCTCATGAATAACACTACGCTACATGTGAGAAATAAGCAGATCTGAACTTTAGTCAGATATATTCTTAGCTTACACACCATGAATATCTACTAACGCTAGAATGTGTAAACAAAGGCAGGAATTATGCAATTCTTTGGTCGGGACGAACACAGAATATGTACCAATATAATTATATATAAATTAAAGTAGTAAATCAAATTTTAATATGCGGTTGCTGAGACATTTTATTTTAAACCTCATTAAAATATTTCTATGACAGTTTTTGATCATTCGGGAAAATAACGGCCTGGCCAGCGTACTGAAAACAGCTTTTGTGTTCTTAGATTCCTATCAATGAATTATCGTACATATTAATTTTTTATATTCGATATTCGGTATACCTGAGACATTTGCCAAAATACCATTTTCATACTACAGAGAAATAAGCGTAAATGATGCACCGAACAACACTGGTTACCTCATAAAAGCTAACAGGTAAGCTAATATCAAAGGTATTCCAAATATAAAATCAGTAAGTTTTTAATGAGTTAATAACCTATTAATATCGACGAAACATGAAAGTCGCATTTGAGACGGTATGTATACGCTTATTCATTTCTTTCAATTCGATTTACCATAAAAGATATTTTGGTCTTTTTAAATATCGTGTTACTCCTTTCGACAATAATTTTGCGCACATTTAGCTTTACTATTGCACAATTACTATGTTATTTTCACATTCTTGTGTTACTAGACAGACGCGGTGTTACATCTATAAAGCTATTTTTCTTCAGATGTGCATTTCTCGCTTTTTCAAAAAACGAAACTTAAGGAAAGACTTGAATGTATGAGACGTGTATCAATATTTTAGTTCCTGCAAAATTTTGGTTCTTTTAGGTTAAGATATGACCAGATTTTTTATCGCCTTACATCTTCATTGATATACCAGGCCCGTCGTCACGATTGTGATGGGTGCGGTCAATTTGGTTGGTTTTAGCCAAAATCTAGGGGGGTACGGGGGCATGCTCCCCCTGAAAAAAATTTTATTCTAGGATGCTCTCAGGGGCGTTTTCCCGTAATATTTAGCACAGTTTACAGCCTGCCGCTAGTACATGTTAAAGTAATATGTCAACGATTTTTTACAGATTTAAGTGTGTCGTAAGTTTTAGGGGTGAAATTTAAGGTTCGCAAAACGGACGGACAGGTGTACATAAAAGATTATATTTTATTCAACGAGTTCAATAAATTCAGTAATGAACTTACACGAATTTAATATTCAGTTTATCACATACCAAAAATAAACACACTTTGAGCTGTAAAATGTATAATACATGTACGAATGCATTCTAAGCTTCCGTTAACACCAATATAGTTTTTGTAAGGTATTAAAGGGAGACACCGGCAAAATTTTCATTTCTTAGTTTTGACTTTTTCATTTATTATTTTGCAAATGTCCTCAAAATGAATACACTAGACAGTCAAAGGAACAAAACTTTTCTGCATATAAAGAATAAAATGGTGTTTTCCTAACTTGACCCGCGTGGGTCAGGTTAGAGCGCTAAGATTTCACAATAGTTGTCACAGTGAACTCTGGAAACGTTAAAGAACATGTCAAATCAATTACTTAGACTTAATTCAGTCATACAATATTCACAATACCTGTTATTGTAACTTCTAGGGTTTGTTCAAGTCATATGGCTTGTTTATAAGCTATTCGGTGATTTTTTTTGGCGTCTAAATTTCGTTCAACATATATAGATATATTTAAGCTTCAAACCCAAAATATATAGAATTTATACAGAAATTCATGCTGGGACTTTAAGAAATGTCATTTTAGCGTGATTTGAGTACATAATATCATTTTTTGATTTTTGTCATTATTTTGCCTGAGTATCCCTTTAATTCAGGACCAATATCAGCTTTATTACATAGTCTGCGAAATATTAGTTCTCTCAAATTTTGTATAATTTTTATTTACCGATACAGATATCTGTTTAAATAGCTCTTCTTTGGTATGAGTGGTGCGATCTATTGAAATATGTTGGTCACGTGGCCGTCTTTCTGTTTCTGTAAGAAATTACAATGAAACATTCAATTTACTTGTAAAGTATGATCTTTTATTTGAAAACAAAACAATGTTTAAAGTAATATCATTACCCTTAAAAAATAACCAAATATCGGCTATTAATATGAAGTTGTGCGTGTAAAAACTGTATTCCATTTCCACAATTTTAAAGCGTCCAGATGTTTAAAACAACGACTTTAATTAAACAAGAGCCACCGCCGGGCGGGGGCAACGCTCGACTTTTTACTTTTTCTAAACGCAAACATAGAAAGGTTTGAACATATATTGACGTTTCCTTTTTATAAATTTAGTTGGTCTGTCTTGTCACATTAGTTTTGTTTATATATTTTGTATATATATGAATAGAAACATTAAGCATATTTCTAAAAATAGCAACAGTACGCAATTTCTTAAAATAGCAACATGACGCAATTTCTAAAAATATTAAAAATGTCGCAATTTCTAAAGATAGAAAAAAATGACATAATTTCTAAAAATAAAAAAAATGACGCAATTTCTAAAAATAGCAACAATGATGCAAATTCTAAAAATAGAAAAATTGATGCAATTTCTAAAAATAGCAACAATGACGCAATTTCTAAAAATAGCAACAATGACGCAATTTCTAAAAATAGAAAAAAATGACGCAATTTCAAAAATAGAAAAAATGATGCAATTTCTAAAAATAGCAACAATGACGTAATTTCTAAAAATAGAAACAATGACGCAATTTCTAAAAATAGAACAAAAATGACGCAATTTCTAAAAATAGCAACAATGACGCAATTTCTAAAAATAGAAAAAAATGACGCAATTTCTAAAAATAGCAACAATGACGCAATTATTAAAAATAGAAAAAAAATGAAGCAATTTCTAAAAATAGCAACAATGACGCAATTTCTAAAAATAGAAAAAAAATGACGCAATTTCTAAAAATAGAAAAAAATGACGCAATTTCTAAAAAAAGCAACAATGACGCAATTTCTCTCTCTCTCTCTCTCTCTCTCTCTCTCTCTCTCTCTATATATATATATATATATATATATATATATATATATATATATATATATATATATATATACATGTATATATATATATATATATATATATATATATATATATATATATATATATATACACATGTATATATATGTATATATATATTTATATTTGATATATATATACATTTGATATATATATCTATATATGTATATATATATATATATATATCTATATATGTATATATATATATATATACATGCATATATATATATATTTATATATATATATATATATACCTGCATATATGTATATATATATACACACACATTTATATATATATATATATATATATATATATATATATATATATATATATATATATATATATATATATATATATATAATACATATACTATACATACACACACACCAATAAATGCACAATCTGAGAAAATTCAGTAATATAACCTTCAAGGTCAAGGTCATTAAAGAGCCCAAGCAAATTTGGGTTTGATTAACAACAAGGTCTGGTCCTTAAGAATGTTCAGTTATAATATGAAGTTTATCCCTTCAAAAATAGCAAAGTTACAGTCAGTTACTGCCAAAACAATGAAAATTTCAATAATTTGACCTTCAAAGGCAATGTCATTAATGAGTGAAGGTCAAGGTCTTTCGGTATATTTTTAACAGTTAACTTTGAAGATTATTATGTTCAAGTTTGAAGACAATCCATTCAAAAAAAAAAACAAAGTTACAGCCAATAATAGCCAAAAAAATGAAAATTTCAATAATTTGACCTTCAAAGTCAAGGTCATTGATGAGTGAATGTCAAGGTCTGACTGGTTATTTTTAAGGGATATCTTTGAAGATTATTATGTTCAAGTTTGAAGACAATCCATTCAAAAATAACAAAGTAACAGCCAATAACAGCATGAACAAGCAAAAATTGGACTTTTAACCTTGAAGGTCAAGGTCATTTATGGATGAAGGTCAAGGCTAGTGTGGTCTACTGAAAGGTCTTGTCCCAAGGGTTGTTGTGGCCAAGTATGAAGACAATACACCAAGAAATAAAAAAGTTATGATCCAGGTACAAGTTTTCGGACGCAACGGCAACGGCAACGGCAAAGGCAACGCCGACCTGACTATAACAATACCTCTACTTTTTTTTTTCAAAAAAAAAAAAGGCGAGCTAAAAAGATCAAAATAAGATATAAATATTTTAGTAATGAAAACATCATCAAGGTAATGATAATCTTGAGTAGATAACTTGCGTTTGTCGTAAACTTCGGCATTAGTTGATGTGGGGAGTTGTTCTGTTGTTTTACAAAATCTTTCTCCATTTGGAGAAGCAAACTCCTTTGGTCGGACACCGCCGGCAATTTCACTTGCTGAACTCGAAAAAGTTGTGGTTTTTTTGACAGTCTGAAAAAATATTTCAATTAAATTCTTAACCAAATTGATTAAAATCAGCTTCTAAATAACACTACGCTACAAGTAAGAAATAAGCAGATCTGAACTTTAGTCAGAGTGATTCTTATCTTACACACCGTGTATATATCCAGTAACGCTGGAATATTTAAATAACGCAGGAATTGTGCAATTCTTTTGTCGAAACAAGCAAAGCGGTAAGAAAAGGAACCAATATACATGTATATACTACTCAACACTTGCTAAGCATCATAAATTAATTCTTATATTATCACAGGTATAAAACAGATTTCTTTTCGATTTTTGAAAATTCTGATTCAGCAATGGTTTGAGATAGTCTCCTGTTGACTTATCCTTTTTAGGTAGCATGGAAAGCTAGTCATAATTATGAGACCTATAACGTAACCTTTTTCAAGTTTATCCTACATTCATCTGATATTTTACATTTTTCACTTTCAATGTTACGTTAGGTCTTAA